TAGACGGGACTTAACTTTTACCATGACGTAGTATCTCGAGGCCGTGCGTTGTGACCGTCAAATCGCAATACCGGTAGGTAAACACGTAAAAGATTAAGGGGTCTTTATATTCCCACCCGACCTATGCAAACATTAATCTCATGATCCTCCCCTTGTTCCACCAGTAATCTACAGCCGCTCCATCCTTGTATTCATGCATATTGAAAGCCAAGGGGGCCTGGGAGCCTACAGGCATGTATGCAAGCGCATGTGACCGCAATGTCCCGTCTCTTTGGGTTGGTAAAACTGGAGGCGGTTGCAAACACATGCTTCTGCAGCAGGAAAAAAAAAAACCAGTGTCATCTCGGGTTGAATTTTTTGTGCCCAGTATAAAGAAAAAGTCGTCGTCCATCATTCCGTTTCCCGTTCCTGGTTTGCCCAAAAGTTCACAAAGAGAACACCGTGCTGCAGCGCGGATCAAGTAAGACCTCGAAAGGATTTGAATTCCGAAAAAAAAAAGGAAAGAAAAAAAGAGGAAGTGAAACGCCTTCCCTACCGTGTTTGTCTCTATTGCTCGTGAGAAATAGAGACATCAGGGATGAAACAATCGTCGGTCTCGCAATTCATACAGAAAAGAGAAAATAAAAAGTAATAGGTACATAGGGAACTAGAAAAAATGAAAACGACGGGACGGAAGTCGGTGTGAAACGATTGACCGCTTTCAATGCAGAAACGCCGTAGGTATGTGCAATGCCAGCGAGAAAAGTGCGTGTCTAGAGAATCGAAGTAGTAGATTTTCAACGATTGCCTTCAGTGACGGGAAGTTGGTTCGGGTTGCCAGCCGTTGATGTAGGCCATGAGGCCCATTCCTATGATCACCACACCCAGCATGGAGGCGTAGGGGACGCCGGCCATCATGGCCTGATCTTTCGCCAGCTTGCCCGGTGGTATGGTAAGTGGCGTGATAGTGTTAGCCCGCGATAGTGTAGGCTTGTCGCTGGGATCGTCCAAGGGGGACGCTGTCTGGGTTGGCGCGGGCGTCGACTCGTTAGATCCGTCTGTCTGGACCACGGTCGTAGTCTTCTCGGTGGCTCTTTCACTACGACCGCGTCGCCCACGGGATGGAGACCGAATTTTCTCTGCCGCAGCCGCTGACTGCCTAGCTTCTTCGTCTCTTCGGATCTGAGCAACCATCTCTGATAAAGTCTTGCGGTCGGCATCGCGTTCCATCTCAGCCTTCTCACATCTTTGCCTCCAAGCGTCCATCTGCTGCTTAAGATCGCTCATCTCGGTCATCATGGTATCGATCTTGACTTGGAAACGAGCAGCAATCTCTTCAGCGCTCTCCGGTGCCGGCTCCTTGACAAGTGGTTCGGCATCTGTCATTTCGATGTCATGGGTCTCTAAAGCCTCGTGAGGAGGCTCAAAAGCTTCTTCAAGTGTGCTCTCGGTGTCGTGTTCTTTGGGCCCGCCGTTCAGTTCCTTTGGAGCACTGTCCTCGAGTATCTTTGCCATATCTTCGGCAAGCTCGCGTGCTTCGCGTTCTTTGCGCAACATGTCCTCCAGGTCCTTAATCCGGGCAGTCTGGGTATCCATCTCCTTCTTGGCATTGTTCAGAGCCTCCGTTAGCTGGATGATCTGGTGCAGATTGTCGCGTCCCACGGGTGACGGAGTGCTGTTCGTCTTGGGTCGCTCAGTGGTACCTCGTTTGAGGGAAGGCACATCCGGTTTCTCCGGAAGGGGTTGTTGGGGCGGAGGAGCAGGCGGGTCGGAGAATCTCGTCTTTGCATCGTTTCGGAAAGGCAGAGCGTTGCCATTAGGGAGCTGCTTGGTGGCTTCTGGTGCCTCGGGTTTCTCGAGATCCTTGACATCTTCCTTGCTCAACAAGGCATGAATGAAGTGGCCCGTCCTTGACAAGTCTTGAGACTGTAGTCGTGCACTTCGCATCTCGTTCTGCACAGAATGTTAGTGCTAGGAGGGAGGGACTCCGGAATATTGGATACTTACATGTAGCCGTTTTACGATGTGCTCCGTGGTAATGGGTGTCAGTAAGAATCCACGAGCAACTCCGCCACTGGGGGGTATGCCAGCCATGTTCTGGGGAGCCATCACACGGCCGTTGCTGGCCATTGACGCGTTGCTTCCCGTACGACCACGATACGGCATTGGTCCCGGTGCAGGCATCATCATGCCACCGTTAGCCGGATCCAAGTCGCCAAAGCTCATGTCCATGACGTTACTGGAGGGTGTCATGAAGCCAGCATGCTCGACTTTGGCGGCTACCTTGTGGTGGACGACGGTCTTTTGGTCCTCGCTCACGATGTCGATTCCCAGCTCTAGATGATCTCCTGTCTGTAATTCGTGTGGTTCGGATTCGCGGTTCTCTTGCGAAAGGCGCGTCCCGTTAACGAAGGTTCCGTTGGATGACTTGACATCGCGAATGTAAATCTTGCCCATGCGATCTGCCCAAATTTCAGCGTGCTGCCTGGATAGGACTTTGCTATCGAAGTAGCCGTTTGTGGCTGTTGGGATCGTTTTCTGGTTCGTCTGTCGGCCGATACGAAGGCTCTCCGGATAGAATGGCACCGATATGGTCTTGCGCTCGAATGTGCCGTTGAGCGACAGGAGATAGAGAACAGGCTGGCCGCTGGGCATGGGATCGCCGGCAGGTCTTGCGGCAAGCCCTTGTTGCGACATCATTTGTGGCTGCCCTGGTAGGGCCTGCAACGATGAATTGCCGTTAATTCCGTTCATTGGCGAACGCATGACCGGTCTGCCGAACTCGGCCTGGCCTTCTGGCTTGCTCGGCGGCCAAGGGCCGTTTTTGGGCTGCGGGCGTTTCCGCGATGCGGTGCTGGACCACGAACTCATGTCGGAGTTCGTGGACGCCGGGGTGCCATTTGGTTGCGAGGCATTCGTGGCGACCGTGGTAGTTGATGAGTTTGACGACGTGGAGGCGACAGACGAGGATGAGTTGCTTCTCTGCAGCGTCTTCCGCGGCACAAACATGCCTCTGACGTCTTCTGGATTCATTGAATTCAGACTTTGTCCGCCATTAACATTCCATCCCGGTCGATTGAGTTGCTGGAAGCTAGGGGGGCTCGCTACGGCAGTCATGAGGGAGTCTCGGCCGTGGCTGGGTAAGGATCGTATGACGGAAGGAGTCGACGCGGTTGAAGGTACAGGCAATGATGCCGGTCGCAGGTTATCGATGTTGTAGGGGGGGAGAGGGGTTGACTAGGGGATGCCGAGGCCTCCTTCCTTCAACATTCGCACGAACTACCCAGAGGGAATCGAAGGGATGGGTGTCGGGCGAGGTTTATCGCTAAGGGACCAGTCCGTATCGAAAGAAACAGCGTAGTGGTTGAGAAGGGATGAGGCTTCGCTGGCAAGTTGGAAAAAATATGTCAGCGATGATGTCGCAGCAAGGATAGGGGTGGACAGCCAATTGGCGTGACCCAAAGCGGCCTGGTACAGCACAGGGGACGGGGGCGGGAAGGCCACAGCGAAGAAGACCGAGCCGGATCAGGCAGGGAGAGAGGGTCAGACAAGACGCGAGACATACTTGCAATTGAAAGGGAGCGGGCAAAAAGAAGAAGGAAGTGTTTTCTCTGGGCACCTCTTTCGACGATAGCTTAAGCACACGTCGTGGGGGGGGGATCGGGGTGCTTAGTTGGCCTGGTAAGTCGAGGTGGAATCCACCTACTGTACTCCGTAGGATTTGGGAAGAAGAACAGAAGGTCTCGCCCCGTCTCGCTAAGCGCTTAGCGTTATTGCGTGTGTGGCCTTGGGGATTTTGGAGCAACCACTGAACCTCAGTGTTGCAGACAGTGACGGACCAAACAGCGCTCGGAAACACGCGCTGGAGCCGACATGGGAGGGTGGAACACAAGGGAGGGGGGATTCAACGGTCGGCTGGGTAAGGGGGGGTGTTCGGTTCAGATAAAAGCACAGGCCCCGAGGCTGTCACTGTTTCCAACACCATGCGCGAGAGAAGGGCGGCTCGATCTTCATATGAACGGGATCAGGAGAGGAAGGGGTAGCAGCGTCGGAGAAAAAGAGAGGGAAACTGGTGCTGGTCCCCAGGCGAAGGCGGTCTGCCACTGTGTGGTTTGGCTTTTGGGATCCACCAAGACAGGTATGGATCCCCCATTTGCACTGCGCTGCGCTGGCGCTCCACTGGACAGCAAAAACCACGTGACCATATTCTCAGTGCAAGCCCTGCACAGTAAGACTGATGTCATTTGTGCAGTGTGGGCATCCCTAGCACTGTACAACACGCTGTGCTCAGGTGGTCGGTGCATCGGATGACCCTCGGTACCATATGATCCACTTTCCATCCCGACACGCAGAAAGCGAGAGCAACTGGGGTGTTTTGCCGAAGAACTGCCGAGTACCCCGGATTGGATTCGTCCAATGGAAGCTCCAGTGGCGGCGCCCACTACTGGACTGCCTGCAGCAAATTGGAAGAGCTCCTTCAGCCCACCGTCGCAAACATCGCGAACGAACAATTCATGACAGTTTGAGCATCAGCAACAGCCCGACAGCACCTACGACTTGACACTCGGTCGACCGAAGCGAAGCGCAACACACACACTCTTTCTCTTACAACATGCCTCCCGTTCCTGCGCAACACGGCGGTGCCATGGGCCCTTCTGTCGCAGACAAGCGTACGCCCAAGTCTCTCTCGAGCCGTTGCTCAAGCTGTAGCTAATCCTTTGTAGTCAAGATGGGTGCCATGATGGGCGGCAGTACGTTTCATCAATACCCCAGTCATGTACGCGAGGCAATAACTGACAACTCGTAGCTGTCGGTGCTGTCATGGGCTTCGTCTTCGGTACGCGCCGCTTCCTCTCTTCGTTCGACCGACTGGACTGACACTTCACCCCTCTCTAGGCTCGGTCAACATCATGCGTTACGGTGCCGGCCCTAACGGCATCATGAGAACTCTCGGCCAGTACATGCTCGGGTCTGGAGCTACTTTCGGGTAGGTTAGCTATGCCCGGAGTGTACGCTGTCGTAGCTAAAGCCCTGTCCAGTTTCTTCATGTCTATCGGCAGTGTCATTCGATCCGACGCCTCTCCTATTGCCAACGAGGCATTCCGCAGGGCCCAGCGAAGGCCCATAATCATGTACGGCCCCGGCTCCGAGTACTCCAAGCGTCAGTAATAAGCTAGAGGGACATTCGAAATACCCTGTATATCATCATGTAGGAGACTAGTGGGCCGTTGCGAGAATGGCGAGATGCTTCGTTACCGGCATCTAATGGATATATGTATAATAGGTTGTTGGGTATATCACGACTGCATGAAAAAAGTTTTGCATCTTCACGAGTGTATCCTTGGTGCTACGGCCGCAGAAGCCCATCCTAAGACCGATAGGGATCAAGTGGAGAACAGACAGTGCGCCGTGAGCGGCTTCCCGGCTCTTCTGCGAGGGTTTACGTACGCTTCTAAATCGAAAAGAACGCTAGGCTTTGAACGCTGGAAACGGGTATGTTCTGCTAGTGAACTGTCGACTCTTTCCACAGAGACCATGCAGCGCATTAACCCATGACTCCAAAACGACACGATTGGACCAGACACTTGCTGGAGACATCCGGCCGACGTGCATGCTGCTCCGCTCTTGCTTCTGCCTGTTCACCCTTTGCTGCCTCAAGCCGGTCTCAATCATGCCCCCATTGAACTTGACGCTGCCTCGGTAAAACGATCCAGTGAAAGCGTACCAAGATTACCGATCAAGACCTATGCAAGCCCACCCTTGATACCATTCCGACCTGTTAAGTGTCATTGCATACTTCCTTACAGTACTTTGCAAGCGGAGCTCCGCAAGACATGACTTACTCAGCGTGCGTGATGGATTAGTGAACAGCGTCGTAGCCGGTCGCTTCACTGCATGGCCTAGCCTATTCCAGTCTCCAAAGAGCCATGGGTTGTCGGGGGAGCTCTGTATTAGTCCAGCGTACGTGGCATGTGGCGCCACATATTGAAATGTTGATGGCCAGGCGTCTCCTTGGTCCCTGTCCAGGCGGTCGTACAATATGGAGCGGGGTTCATCATGAGAATTTGGGCTCTTCAACCGTAGTCCGGCCCTTCTGAAGCTGTTGTCAGCTTACTTTAACTATAAATGAGGGTTGACGCGCGTTCTAGCGATAGAATGGATCCTTTTCTGGAATTTGTCTCGTGCCGCTGATGACTGTGCCTTCAAACCGAACTCAGATAGCGTGCCCTAAGCATGCTCTGGAGAACTCATCCATGGTCAGTCGTGCTACTCAGCATTGCGAACGTCATGGCCGAATCATATGACTACATGTAAGCAAGATGCCTCAGGAACGGTACAAAATTGCTAATGCCCTCTAGCATCATCGGCGGTGGTACTGCTGGCCTCACCGTCGCAGCTCGCCTCACAGAGGATCCTCAAGTGACGGTTCTCGTGTTGGAAGCCGGCGCCGATCGCTCCGAAGACTTGAATGTGCTGGCCCCGGGCCTGTTCTCAGCTATGTACGGCAACCCGGACTACGATTGGGATTATAAGACTGTTCCTCAGGTAGCAACCACTATGATCGAGAGCACGAAATACAACTTGCTTACGCTTCCAGACGGCTGCCAACAAAAAGGTCGTCGCTCACATCCGCGGTAAGCAGCTCGGGGGCTCCAGCGCAATGAACTTCATGTTCTGGACCCACCCTTCCCGGCGAGATGTCGACAACTGGGGCGACCTGGGCAACGTAGCATGGTCTTGGGATGCGCTCGCTCCCTATCTCCGCAAGTCGGAGGCGTTTGTTGCCCCATCAGCTCAGCAGAAGAGCGATCTCAGTCTCGACTATGTCGATCCAGGCGTGCACGGAACCAGCGGGCCCATCGCCAATGAGTTCCCCAAGCTGTACAGCCCGTTTCTCGAGGCGTGGCCGAGGACTATGGAGAAGCTTGGCTTGGGCGTCAAGGGCGATCCACGGGACGGAAAGGCGCCGGGAGGTTACGTCAACCTGCTTAACATCAAGAATGCGACGCGCAGCTATGCGGCGAATGCGTACCTCGGACCTGCACGTCAACGAGCAAACCTTAGGGTCATGACGGAATCCCAAGTGTCCAAAATCCAGTTCAGAAATAATGAAGACGGTATCGAAGCAACAGGTGTCACGTGGACTCAGGGTGCCCACGAGGTCGAAGCTATTGCTGCAAAGGAGGTGATTCTTGCTGCGGGTTCCATAGCCTCGCCACAATTGCTCGAATTGTCCGGCATTGGCACCAGAGAAATCCTGGAGAAGCACGGTGTCGAAGTATTGGTGGACAACCCCAATGTCGGCGAGAATCTACAGGACCATGTTTACGTTCCCCTTGGGTGAGTGGCCATGGTTTACTGGTTTCATATCGGAAGTTTTTCATCAGACTGAATTAGACTGACATCCTTCAGATTTGCCGTCAAGACAGGCCTGCCAACGAACGAGGACTACTCCAATGCAACCTACTTCCAAGAGCAACTCGATTTGTATCTGCAGACCAAAACAGGTCGCCTGTCCTCGGCAGGCGCCAGCTCGGCGCTTTTGTCCCTTGAGCAGATTGCACCCACCCTGAACCCTGACCCTCCCTCACTTAAGAGCAACATCGCAGGGCTGGCTGAACAGTACCGTCTTGTCTTTCGGGACTTGAAGTCGGAGGCTATCGCTCAGGAGCTCACCATTGAAGGCGGCATCTCTCCCCAGTTCTCCTCCGACACGACGAAACTCTTCAACGCCGACTCGCCTGGTAATTTTCTCTCGGTCTTGGGGGTCCTCGAGCACCCCCTATCCAGGGGCTCAGTCCATATCCAGTCTGCCGACGTGGCCGTCCACCCAGGGATTGATCCACGTTACCTTTCGAACCCGCTCGACGTTCAGCTGTTAAAAACCATCGCCCTCCATCTCCAAACTGTTGCGCGAACGAAGCCGTTGAGTGACCTGCTTCAGGGCGACGGTACCGTCTTTCAACCCGGTTATCACGAGCTCACGGCCCAAAACGTGGAGGATTGGGTGCGGAATAGTATGCAGAGCGAGTACCACCCCTGCGGAACATGCGCCATGTCTCCGATGGCAAAGGGCGGTGTCGTTGATGAAAGGTTCAAGGTTTACGGGGTGAGGAACCTGCGGGTGGTTGATGCTAGTGTGTTTCCTCTGATACCGAGAGCTAATATCCAGTCCCTGGTATATGCGGTGGCAGAGAGGGCTGCGGACTTCATAAAGCAGGATGCACACTGACCTTTGAATAAATGCCTATAGACAGCAATACTAAGCCCTGTTATCTCACGGGTAATCTTAATCTCACCTTTGGCCAAACTGACTGTTCCGCGTAATAATGTCATGATAATAATACCACCGCGATCAGACTTCTGGTGCAGTTTATGTCGGTATCTATAGAGGGTCTACTTAATCTCTTCCTACTTCTACTGCTATAAAACATATTTGGATCGTGTCAGAAGCGGCTGTCAGCAGCCTTTTCCCAAATTATGTTGTCCCTCAGCCTGTTGCTACACGGCACCTCGAACATCATTTGTTCTTGGCACGATTCTACGCCAGGTTTCCTGATATTACGAGCTTGGCAAGGCTCGGCAAAGAAGTTTGGCACTTGATACCGGGAAGCTGGCTAAATTACTAGTTATCTCGAAATATCACTCGGGTAACGGTCTAGCGCTGAGCACAAGGAAAGTCGGTCGTATCTATCTACTCCTGTTATCGCGAAGCTCGCAAACACCGAACGTTTATTACCATAACGTTGATGCGAAAAGCAAATTTGGATCTTTCAGCGTTGCAAAAAGCCAGAGCTTTTGATTGGATTGTCACAACACAAATTCTGCACTGTTATCTGCAGCTGCATCAATATCGGAATTCGAGTCTCTTTGCGGACCATAGGTACCTGCAGGTAGGCGGCATTTATGCAGTCTGTCGGGTCCGTCTACCGCACGTATGGCGCAACCACGGCCATACACCAGTCGCGCGGCGCCCGGTAACCCGGGTTTGCAGAGCTTTGGTTCGACGCCACCAGCCGTCTTCCGATTATTCTTCACTGTGTAGGACTTATCATAGGGTGGTGCTGTTCTCATAGTCGGGTGGTCTACGGAGAAGCGCCCGGGAATTCCATTATCCAGCAAAAAACTACCGTAAACTCGACCAGCATCGCAAGGGTTCTGTAAGACCATCAGCTAATGGCCCCAAGTTCCAGCTCATCTTATTAATATTCTGGTCACGCAAGCCTCTGTGGCGGCAGGAGATTGCGCGGGAGCAACGGCAGCACTATGGTCGCTTCTTTGAGAGAATGAGGTAGCGATATCCGGATCACGACACGGGGCCCCGCGATGGCGACACACCCCACGCCAAAGGGGAGCGAATCATCAGCGCTCCAAAGCACATCATCCGCTCCAGTAATCCATTCAGTCTTCTGAGTCGTCCGAGTGTTATCTGGAGGCTTTTCAACATTCGGGAGATTGCGACCGACTTGGAAACCTCTGTTAGTTTAAGTAGCGCAGCGCGATGGCCAGGCTTTCGAGCAGCGAGATACATAAATCAGGTACGATATTTACCCCAAATATTCACGAATGGTTTTCCTTTTCTCCTCAGACTCAAGCCCGGATCTCCCTCATTTCAACACTCTAATTTACCGAACTCGATAGAGCTCTTACCTTTGCTCGGAATGGGGTCAGTGCATGAATACACATCCTCGTCTGCCAAGGGAGGGACGGTGGATGATTCGCTCTCGGACGATCATAATTCGACAACCTTCGTAAAGAAGAAGGTTCCATGGTGGGCGTACATCTGGGATTACGAGCCCGATCGCTCCCCAGAGGAACGCGCTTTCATTCAGAAGCTCGACGTCTTTCTGATCACGATGCTGAGCTTCGGCTATTTCATCAAGAATCTTGATCAGACCAACATTAGCAACGCCTTTATCAGCGGCATGAAGGAAGATCTTCATATGAATGGCAACGAAATCAACCTCATCGACACAGCCTGGACCGTCGGCTACGTGGTGGGTCAAATCCCCTCGCAGATCGTCCTCACAAAGGTGCGACCATCCATTTGGGTACCCTCCTGTGAGCTGCTTTGGACAGTCTTGACTTTCTGTCTGGCGGCTGTAAAGACTTCGAATCATGTTATTGCCATCCGTTTCTTCGTCGGTTTGGCGGAGTCCATCTTCTATCCGGCCGCTCACACGATCCTGGGATCGTGGTACAAGCCGTCTGAGCTGGGCAAGAGGGCCTGCATTTTTCACGCTTCTTCGGCTGCGGCCGGCATGTTTTCAGGCTATCTCCAAGCTGGCGTCTACCGTGGCCTCAACGGTGTACATGGACTTGCTGGTTGGAAGTGGTTATTTGTAAGCTCTCCCCTTTCCCGATGGCGTGATGTGATAATGTGGGAACACCTCGATGCTGACGTGACCGCAACTCTTAGATTATGGACGGAATCATCAGCTTGCCCATATGCATCGCGGGGTTCTTCTTCCTACCAGATCTCCCAGAGAACACAAGAGCATTTTACCTTAACGAAAATGTGTGTAATAGATGTGTCTCTGATATGTTTGCACGATGACTGATGTCGAGACAGGACCGAGAGTTAGCTCGCAAGCGTATGGCGAGCGTCGGCCGTGCTCCTCGGACAAAGCTGGGACGATCTGCTTTCAAACGAATCTTTGGAAGATGGCACGTTTACTTGTTGTCGATTCTTTACATCATCTTCATCAATATCGGCCCGTCGAGCAGTGTCAACCCCTTTTCGCTCTGGCTGAAGGCAAGGGGCGAGAGTGTGGAGAGGATTGTGAGTTTGTCCCAGTGGTAAGATGGTCCCTAACAGAAGCTGACCAAAATCATCAGAACATCGTTCCTACAGCGGCCTCTGCGGTCCAGCTGGTTCTCACCGTCTCGTTCGCTATCATCTCTGACGCGATTCGTCATCGTGCTAGCATCATGTCCATTTCTACTTTTCTTGGCGGCTTTGCAGCCTTGATTCTTGCCATCTGGAACGTCCCGGACGGCTTGAAGTGGTTTGCTTTTCTGCTGCAGCGCGCTTCAGTGCCGTATGGACCGCTCAGCATGAGCTGGACAAACGAGATTTGCGGTGCTGATGCCGAGGAGCGCGCCATCGTCATTGGCATCATGAACTCGTTGGGATACGCATTCAACGCCTGGGTACCAATCCTGACGTATCCTCAAGTTGACGCTCCAACCTTCAAAAAGGGCTTCATTTTCTCGACAGCTGCCTTTGGTGCTCAAGCTGTCATCACAGCTTCGGTGGCCTATCTCTACAGGCGCGACAAGAAGAAGCAGGGGATCGCCAAGAGAGACGAAGAAGGTGTCACTGCACCTGCTTCAGTTCCCAACTTGAAGTGAATCACACAACTACGTATAGTGTTGGTCAAGCTGCTTTGCACGAATTATGATGTAATACGATCATGGCATAGCAATCGGCGTTGAACGGTAATCTAGAATATCAATCGGACCTAACAGGATTTAAACCGTACACTTTGCCATCCATCTTTTGCTTACGAACTAAGATCACGATACGTGATGCGTGTTGATAAGATAGCGGGCTCCTGACATTAATATTTTAAGTAATCGGTCTGTGTCCCGTGGTCGGGAGATGTGGTCGTTTGAGGGAATACCCTGCGGTCAAAAACTCGACTGATTATTACTTATCATCCAGCCAGGGGTATGTGACTTGGCTTTTCTAGAGTCAAGGTAATTAGTAACATAGTTATCTTTGAGCGAAGTTCCACGTTCAGGCGCACTTGTATCAATTCAGTTGTCGTGAGCACACGTGGTATCGCCGCTAACAAATCACCCGCTCGCTTAAAGGGGGCGAGACTTAGTTGCAGAAAGTGCCTAGATCCAGTACTAGAACAGAATATATAACACCATAAGTTCTTTTCTATCAGATTTTTGACGCGGTACTTATTACTGCGCGCCACTATGTTGCTCAGGTGCAGCCAGATCACTTGCCGCCTTGAGGTGGCATAAGGAGCGCAAGCAAGGTAAGTGGGGTAAGTTAGTACAGGATCTTACCTTACAGGCTACAGTGTATTAGTGTCTATTACTAGAAAGATATCTATAGATAATAGATAGTATATACTATATTAGTAGCTTATATTAGTACATTTTAGGCTATTCTTTTATTCATTCATTTACTTATATATCTACTTCTGTAATTAGTCCTATTTACGTAAAGCTAGAGCCCTTATAGCTAGGCCTTTTGACACAGCCTTCCTGCCAGCCGTTGCAGATCTAACAGGAGGAGCAAGGCTGCAATAGGCGACGTGAAGCGACGCAGTGCGAAGGTGAAGTGCAACAGCAGAGCAGTGAAACAAGGCAAGCAATAACAAGGAGCTGAACGATTAACACAGGACAAAAGCTAGGTATAGGTGTAGATAGTGTATTGAGGTTTTCTCTCCTAACAGGAGGCAATGGGCAATGGGATATATACCCCCTGGGCATATGCCTGGACACGTGCCAGCGGGGTTATCCCTTGTCCTACCTATCTATCTACAATGTGATGTTCTTGTCCTGTGACACCTTTAGCCTATAAGTTCTAACAAAGGAGTCCTTATTAGTTAAGGCTTAGTAAGTTATAAGGATACATTATGTTCTATCTCTAGAGAATAAATAAAAGGTTCTAGAATAGTGTTATAGTAGTAATAACTATAGCTAGATAACTTTTAACTATATTACCTAAAGTAAAGATTTTAAGATCAAGAGAAAAGAAAATCTATAGTAAGGCCTTTCTTAGTAGCTTAGCTGTCACACTACAGAACGCTCATTCTATAGAGAATCCACCATGTTTCGCACAGGCTATTAACTAGCAAATGGCCGGTTAGTAACCCAGGGATATTGAGAACATTGACGGAGAATTCTCTAACTGTCGTGAAGCTGGAATAGCTTCGTGTGGCTAGTGCCAGCAGCGCCGCCACAGGATGTGGCGTACCACCCGCACGGACCGTGTAGAAAAGGTATTTCTACCGCTTCTCCGGTTCATACGTAGTTTCTTAATAGGTCAACTACTTTTCTCTCATATGACAAGACGCTGCGGTTCATCACACTAACCGTTGGCCGGAAATTCTCCAGTAATTCTCCAGGAATTCTCGGAAACTTGTTTAGCTGTTTAACCTAGAATTCTCCACTATTTGTAGGCAAACTCCCTGTCTATTAGAAAAGGAAGGGGCATTAAATTTACAACTAATGTACCTGCACTAAAGTGTAATAAACTTTCTTACTTATCTAGTACTTATTATATATAATAAACTTTCTTACTTACCTAGTACTTATTATATATAAACCTAAATCACTTAGTCCTAATTTTACTTAAGGATTATAGGGCGCTCCTGTAAACTAAGAAAGAGCCACTTGTGCTAACGTTCTTCCTAAGACACTTGTTAGGTGTATAGGGGTTACTACCCTTTAGGCCTTTAAAATAGATAGCTTTTAGTAGTTTAATAGGCTATTGTCTAGATTACTATTACTACTACCCTTATCTAAAGAGCTACCTAGACCCTTGTTAGTATATCTAGCTTTAAATAACTACTAAATATATCTAGTATAGGCACCTACTTAGTGGATAGCGCGTCTTCCTTTGAACACTAAAAGGGTTCAGAAGAAACAGTGACAGCCAACGTGGAGCGGCCGTTTTCAGTGTTCCCTGTCCTGTCCCCACACTACCTAGTCAGGGGGAACAGGATCCTTACCATAAAAAGGCAACACGCGCTCTCCAGGCATTTTCAAACTTTGCCTATGCTCATCTGACCACCCACGATACTAAATCGACTCGAAATGCCATATCAGAAATGACGATGGCGCCTCTCGACAGAGAATCCTCCGCCATCAGCTGCGCAAAGGCGGCACTCCTCCTTCTCGGCGTTTGCGTCCCTTCGGCGGCAATTCTCGTCTCCACGCCTAAATCTGGTCCCAGCTCCGTGATAAGATACGCCTGGATCGCCGTCGTCCCCTTTATCGCTAGACATTTACTCGTGCAGTTGTCCGGTATAACAACAAGTTGTGTTCTCAACACCGTTGCCATGGGACAACTCTGTCTTGTCCTTCTGCAAAGCTGCAATTTCCTGGTACTCACGCGTCTCGACACCGGCGATCTCGTGAAGGGAAACGTTTACCAGCCGTCGGATGGGCTTGTTCACAAACTTCGGAGCGTCATTGGGTTGATGTTCAACTTGCGAGGCATTGGCACGCCATGGCAAATCCCAAGAATTAATTCGGCTCCACAGAGCCTCAACAAGCATACCGAGAACGGAAAATTGCGCAAAGGGCCATGGGTGGCGCGACAGTTGCAGATTATCTTCTGGCAGTACCTCTTTCTCGACTTCACGTATCTTTCTTCCTTGGACACGTCACCGGAAGATGCGGAAAAGCTCTTTGGTCCCGGTAAAGAGTTCTTGTATATCAACGCCAATGCGGAGCAGTGGGGAGCCCGTGTGGCTGCTGGCTTCATTTCCTGGCTAGCCCCGGGTCGAGTGACAGTGGACCTCGTCTATCGAGTTTTGTCAGTAGTTTCTGTGCTGAGCGGTATGGCTTCTCCGGAGGACTGGCCGCCTCTCTTTGGAAGCATCTGGGATGCATACACGATCCGAGCTTTTTGGAGGTGAGTAGATGCCACACAGTCTTTGCGTTAAAGTCCTGTGACTAACAGCATGCGTAGCGTCTTCTGGCACCAATATTGTCGTTGGTTTCTCACGTCAGTCAGCAACTACATCTGCCGATACCTCTTGCGCCTTCCTCGACCCACGCGACTAGAGCGCTATCTCAATATCGCTGTAGTGTTCGTGAGTTCGGGTCTAGTCCACGTTATGCTCGACATGTTCTGCTGGGAGCCATCTCCCAAAGCGCCAACATTGGCCTTCTTTGGCTCCTTTGCTGTGGCTATCATGATCGAGGACGGCGTCCAGGAAGTGTGGCGTCGCATCGCGGGCGCAGTGGATTCTAAGAAGGTCCCGCTGTGGCACAAGATTGTAGGCTACATTTGGGTTTCCACATGGCTCACTGTCACCTCGCCATGGTATCTGTATCATACTATCCGGCAGCCTGTAGATATGAAGTGGCTGGTGCCGTTCAGTGTTCTTAACATGATGGGGCCAGTGGCTGGAAATGTCCTGTTGTTCGGTGGCGGCCTCGTGCTGAAATACACTATTGTTGGCCAGATTTAGAACGGTGCAGGAAATAGGAAAAGAGAACAATTGTTGCCCTCAAGCAAGGAACAGCGAATAAACAAGCCCATGCTCATGATTGGTCAAAACCTGTAATTCGCCACCTACGAATCTTGCGCGCGTTGCCTATTTGGTTGCCTACGTTCTTACAGGCTTTGAAGACACCAAATGATGACCCAAAGAGATGTGCCTAGGTGCCTAGCAGTGGTCCGCGACGAAACAAGGGAAATAGCGGTAAAATAACACTGATGGGCAATATTTTGCACATCGCATAAGGTTTGAACTTCAATGGCAACATCGTGGATGTATTGATAGTATACGGACTTTCTATGGCTCCTGCATGCAGAACTTGAGTTGATTGGTCTTCCCCGTCGGCCAATTCTCCTTTCATCTCTGAAAGTCTCTTTCGCGGGATCAAGCCTCCATTTTCGCAGCTTAAATTTTCGTAGGAAGCTGACCTGGCGACATCACACGCGTGTGTGGTGCAATCATTACATCGCGAATCTCGATGTTTGTGTATGTAATCTGCAGCGAACAGCTTGTCCTCAATTGTTGGAGGCCGATCGTATCGAATGCGGTTTCGCTTGTTGCTTGCCGCTCGGTTGCCGCATGTGCGAAAGAATTTCGGCGGCCTTATCAAGAAGAAGATACTGGGCCCGAGCAGTCTGGAAAAGGGACAGAAGGGAGCGAATACTTGCAGTGGGTCGCCCAAGGTTGTCTTCAACTGTATCCTTGCGTATGAACCCGTTCGTTGTCGTCCAAAATCATACTGGACGACCCTTTTACTGATGATGACATCGCCTAAGATAATTTCGTTTCCTTGGCTTGGGACTGCTCCGCATATGCCGGTGAGAATAGCCAACCTGATTCCCGAATAGCTTGATCGCAAACTCGATACGGTGTTCGCTGCGTTGACTTTTCTCATACCCGGTAGAAGAACCAGAACGACATTCAAGCTCTGGATTGAGCCTGTGGTATAAATGTTAGGATCGTTCGGTGCCTTTCCGTAAACGTCTCCGTCATTGTCCCAAAACTCGTCGAAAGCCAGGCAAGCCGCATCATATTCCAGAGGCAAGGCGCATACAATTGCAACCTCAAACTCGTCACGGCTTGCAGGTCGAGAGGCCATTGTTCCATGCAAGCAGCCTGATAAGCGACGTTATTGATGTCCTTCTGCCATGTGTCACGATAAGTCGACCAACCACTCTTGACCAGCGCCCAATACTCTGATGTCATTCCCGCCCGACTGCGCCGCATCAGCACATAACATAGCACAAGCGACCTCGCTGCAAAGGCTTCCGCGGGTTGAAATCCTTCAGCCGTCATTGGGACTTTCGTCACCAGACCGACTGTTCCAGCCCCATGGTTTCTTGGTTGCTTCAAACCATTTTGCCAATTTGAACTCGCCAAGGAAATTTGCTGGAGCTCAATTAGGTGGCTCGCCGCAAACTGTCAATCCAGAAAGGAATATTATGACGCGAAGCGACAGGGAGTCGTTACGCCCGACTTGTGTTTGTCACTCGGCGCTAAGCATCTGGAGTCGTTGATCTGCGGTCTGGGGTAAGCAAGCTTAATTGCTTCCCCCTTGCGGGTGGCACCGCCCTCGTGGTTCTCACGATGGTGCCAGCGGTGATTAAAAGAACCCCCTTTCTCTGTTGAAAGAATCAGGTCTTCATCCCATGCTGCCGAAGTACACTTGCACCTAACCAATCTCACCAAATCCGTCGAAATGCCTACCGCGACTTCAACCTCCCAATACGCCATCACCAACGTCGGCCCGCTGACAACACCCTTCACAACACCGACCTCCTGCGCGACGGCATCACCGGAGCTGTATCTCGCAATCAGCGGCGCGTGGGGATCTGATCGCGTCGCCGCTTACTACAAGCAAAACTGTGACGTCTCAAAGTTGGGCGAGTGCTTCCCCTCCGGCAAGGAGATCGACGACGCATTATCTGCGGCAAGCACCAAGGCGAATAACGACCGCGCGACAATCGCATACTTCTCTCCTGCCAGCCAATGCCCAGATTCTTACACAACCGCGGGCTCAGCCCACCGAGGCGATGACGGCAACGTAACATCGTCCGGCGTCTTCGTGCCGCCAGTTGTGACCAATGGTTTGCGCGACGGCGGCCTGATTGGCTACAACCCGCCGCTGAACGTGTTAATGGAGGTTCTTGACGAGGATGAGACAGCAATTGTTTGTTGTCCCGAGTAAGTTTCCCGGATCTTTAGTTCATCTACATTGTTAAATGATGGAATAGAAACTACACTGTCGGCATCAACGGCGACTGCTTTTCAACAGTCCCGGAGTCCGTATACGGTGAAAAAACAGCCTGCGGGAGGGTCATCCCAAACGATGTCTACACCCAGGTCACGGCCGCCATAACCTACAACAACACCGTCATGACGGGTCGTGTGATATCATACACCGTCTCGGGGCCCATTGAGTACAGCACTCGCACACAGACGTATACAGCCTCCGCGATCGCCGAAGGCATGTACCCAGTCGCGTACAAGCCGGCCGTCACCTTGGTGAACAAGGGCGAGGCCGGAGAGACTGGCGGAGCTAGCGGCAGCGGGAGCGGCACTGCGGCTCCGTCGGGGACGGGGGCTAGTGCAGCACGCGGCATGAGGATGACTACCTCTGGAGGTGGTGTTGGAGTCTTGGCTACGGTGTGGACTTTCGCGGCGTTGGCTGGTGTTGCGCTTGCCATGCCTTTTTAAGACTAAGGAGACATTTTGGGGTACATGATGAGATACCCAACGATTTTTGCTAGTATTTTGGAAAAGATCTGTTTAACCGCCTGCCTACTAAATCATGCTGCTTTGCCGTTGATCCGCATCTCCACCGCGAAGGATTCGTCACTTAGAGTTTGCCGCAGATATTGTTGGAACACGCGTGCATCAGCAACAGCAATCCCGTCCAATCTCCTTAGTAATTGGAAAAATTATTTTCTTCTGTGGTGCCATCCAGAAAGTTCTGACTATTCTACGCAGTGACATGAAAGTCTAATATGAATCGCAGCTCATCGTACTCGCTTGCAGAGCCGCCGACTTATCCATCGTCCACCATTGTCTTCTGTCTGGAATCTCCATCTGTCATATTAGTGACAGGGCTGGTTACACAGAAAAGCCTTAAGCTTTTTGTCCAATCATCATCGGGATTGTGCATAGAAGGCCCGATGAGTAACCCTCCGTCAGTCTGAGCCCTTTGGCCATCCGGCTCGCAACATCCACCACGTGTAAAGGGACAATCTGAGGCTCTTACCCGGCCCAAATGGCTTATGTTGTATTCACGGTTGTAGAACACCTCGTTTCTCGTAGTCTTGTGATGCAATAACCACCTGCGGATAAGAGGCCACAGGGCAGGAGCCGAGGCGGTGGTGATGGCCAAACTGCACTCTATTTGCGCGACGCAGAATCCGAGAGAGAAAGTCTTGTCGGGCGTTACAATGATAAAGCTTAGTGCGACAAAATATAGACGGACGATACTGACGAGGGTCACACTGTTTTGGAGTAGTTAGATTAACAGCCAAATGGGAATACCACATCGGAGTTGACTCACATGATACCTAGTGCGAACACGCCCATCAACCCTTTCTTCTTTTTCATGTCAATTTTGAGCCCGAGAATGATGTAGAAGGGAAGACCAATAACGATGATATCAGTAAGGACGGTCAAAGTCCCTGACGTGATAGCAAGAGCGAATTCGTTGATGCACTGGCCGGAGACTGAAGTGTTCCAAAATGCCTCGACAGGAGTGCATTGGAAGATGATAGCAAGAAAAGTTGCAATAGTCAGAGAAATGTTGACAATCCCAGTGTACCAGACGACATTCCGGACGAGGTTTTTGATTCCAGAGAATCGGAGTATGAAGATCAGGACTGATTGCTTCGCGAGAGCCAATATGGGACTGTATATTATGCCGGTAATAAATACCCATAGCATGCCATTCCCAGGGTTTGCGGGTTGTGGAATTTCCCAGTAGTGTATACCGATAAAGAGCTCCTTCATACCTATGAAACATTTCAGCGTTTATGAAATCAAGTGTCCGTATCCATTGAACATACAGATGATGGAACTGACACTCAAGCCAATAGTGAGGGCTAATGCAGCGCAGATGAAAGCATCATCTACGAAGATGGCTGTTAGAAAGTCACATTGAAGTTGCCACGCCTTGACCTACCCCATCCAAGGTTCTTTGTATCGAATCTGATATACAGTCGTAGTATGACGACAACAAGAGCGAAAACAGGGCAGAAGACCTCAATGGCGATACCCAGGTTCTGGAGCCAGCTTGTCGGCCCTTCCGCCATGACAAGTCAGCAGGTAAGCTTCCAGTGACCCACACTGAGTATTGAGGACGCTCAGAAGCCGAATTGAGACGAGAGCCAGAGACAACCCATCATGTGTCGGATCTTTCGGTCCTGGTATCTTTCTTCTGGTCCCTTCGAGATAGATGGACCGAAGAAGAAAGGATTAAGCGGGGAGCTATGCGCTTGGCCGGAGCGTAGGCGTGGGGTATTATTGGTGTTTCAATTGAAGCCTCCACGCCGACCCCGCCGGAGGCTTGAAAACTAAGTTTTATCTTGATGGATGCAGTCCGAAACATTGCTTGCCTCTTTCTCGACGGGCTTGCTCATCATAAGCAGACCTCTTGACTCAGGTCAGGCGCATGTGTCATCTAATTGTGATGGGAAGAAAATCAATATAAGACGAGTCCCGAAAAGCCACGAACAGCTCTTCGCAATGTAGCATCTTCGGCGATGTCTCAAGTCCTTGACGATAGGCTCACCGGGCAAATATATGGAATCGGTCTCCAAGAAGTCTATGACGAGATGTTCGAGAGTTCCGATATATCATCATAGCAGACAAGGTATGTCCGGTTTCTCAAACGATATGAAATGGAATTGGTCCCGGCCTTTATTTTATAATTATCAATTTCTCAGTGACATACATACGCGTAGCCGTTTCTGTACCATAGAAACCCTTCGTTCTCGTAAGTGGTCAAGAAGCGAGGCGTAAGCGAAGCCTGCTTGTTTTATGATGCCTAATATTAAGCTTTTCTTCGCGTCGGCTTGACACCCATGCAGACTTCCAAATGCAATATAGTGCCGCATCAGGGGCATTCCTGTTCTGCATTTCCTTATTAATCCAATGGTCAGCTTAAGCAAGTACGTCATTACTGAAGGGGAACAGCTTGTTCCATCTGGGTTCATGGTTAGAAGTAAATACAACTGGTTCCCCCAACTTCAAGCAAGGAGATTCACAGGAACGTATGTAAGCCTGCGTCCGATCTCTGAAGAGACTCACCCGGAACGGGCTCTGTCTTGTTGTCATCGGGCAGTGCCTAAGTGGGTACAATCAAAATTCTGAAAGTCGATTAAAGGTTTACTCATTCACCAAGCCGAATAAACGCTTGCGTCTGATGATTGTCTCTCATAAAATATAAGTCGAAGCCAATAGCGGTTCGTTGATCTCCGGTGAGGCAGACGAGTAGCTGTCAACTGATCGGTTTGAGACCATCTACACATCTCTAATAGAAGAGCCTTTGGAGGAAAGTAGTGATTTCAAGTCGAATGAAAGCTCTCGATCGTTTCAGCAGGTTAGATTTCCTTTTGAGTCCCAGACCAATTCGTGGTCTGTGATATGCCTTTTTGATCTTGCGTCGCAGAGTTACTTTCCGGGTAGGAAATGACATAGGAAAACGGCTTAGATTTCTACGTGTGAGGTTGCCTAAGCCGAAGCGTAGAAATACGTAGACCACATGTGGGCCCGGTATATGGGGATCCCGGGATAAGGTTATTCCGGGCTCCGGCAGAGTCCTCACACGGCTGGCGATGCTGGTGAAGGCATCGCGACATCTTGGAAATCTACAGAGGACGCAGTGGTGCATGTGCCGTAACCGCAGCCATGGACCACTTCAGACGGAGTCCAACTCTTGATAGTTGCATCAATGTCGTCACTCCGAAGAGAAAGGCAAGTTCCGTATGGCAAGTCACCTAGATCGATCAACATATCGACTTCTGCCCCCCCCCCCCCCCCCCGACCTTCTTGTTTGTGCTTTTTCTTCCCGACAGCTGTTCGCCCAACACCTCCGGTTGGCCACCTGGAGATCAGGTATCAAGCCATTCGACACAATGCGCCGCTCTGTGATCCCTGCAGTCACATCTCCCGTCGACCTGCGTTAGCACAGACTATCCAGACTAGAAGTACTTTTTTTGATATATTCATGATAGTCGGCAATGATGTTCGTCTTCTTGCGCCTTATACATCTCTTTCGTACTATCGCTAGCGCATTGGAACCACTTAACTCGCTTGTGGAAGAATTACTCCTATAGTCGAAACAGTGTTTCCAACTCATGATCGGCGAAACCAGCTCCGTGTGCCGTCTGGACCAGGCGAACATGTTCCCTAGGATCACCAGCGACACTCCCTTTTCTTTTCGACAGGGCAATTCGAGCCGAACCAACCAAAAGAGTGACCGGTTCTGGTGGTGGGGCGCATGGAGTCACTGAACCGCAAGCCCGTCCGCGAAGCCGAAAGCTGGAAAATTCGCACGCACACATTACGCGCAAATCAGAGCGAAGGAACGGAAACGCTGCACTTCTCTCCAATGTTGGGGGTCACCTGTCTTACCACGAGCGCATCTTCTGCTCATCGATCACTTACAATTAGGAGGAGCGCCCTTGTCGAACGCGCAACGTGGACCACGTGCTGCAGTCCAGGCAGACTCCCCCTCTCCGGCCAACGCTGGCGTCAGTCAGCAATAGGTCAGGCTCTTACGCCTCCCGCAAATCGAGCCCGAATCCGTACCAATCGCATGATGTGCCAACGCGCACGCCGCCTGGCTTCACAGCTTGGAGGCGCTAGGCCAGTTAGCCGTGTGCTTGCGCTCGCATACTTCTATGTTGCCGCCTCTAGCAATGACTGGTCCACACAACGCTGAGCTGAGATATGACCAAGACCGGCCGACCAGTGTACGGGCGGCCCTGCGTGAATCACTTGCTATTCCCAGGGCGCGGAGCAAATGAGCCCATCTGGATGGATTGACAGTTGATCCAAACCTTTCCCCTTGTCTGGCAACGCGTCTCATGACGAGCTTCGCATTTGAGGACATATCGCCTTGGAATATGAAGCAGCATTCAGCCCTATCTACATACACTGCGTCGAGCGCAATCCAAATCCAGGAAGCGAAGAAGGGTGAGCGTGGGACCTGACTTGCTAGACTCCCTCCCATCTCGCCACCGTTTTTGATTAAGTTCCCCAAAGCTAGAAATCGCAGATTTCGGTTCCAGAAACAAGGAGGCGCGGACTAATTAACCTTTTCGGAATATGCACCGCATGTCCTGGGGGTGCCGTTTGTGCGGTCGAGACGCATGTCTTGCGTGATGAAGGGTGTGCCCACATTAGACGAAGAAATCGAATGTCTTGATCGGTAGCCACCCGCTAGAAGAGGCCGCTTTCTTGCCGCAATGAGCCAAAGTCTAGGCGTTGGAGAAGGCATCTCATTCCTGGGGCTCAGAAGGAGTCCTACCATCATGAGGTGCGGGTACTTAACGTGCCCCCCCCCCCCCCCCCGTCCCTGGATCTGCAGGATAATCAGGCTGAATACCTAGCCCCTCCCCCCTGGCAGGGAGGCGGCTCCGTCTTCCCCAGCGTTGGTTGGCGGACAATCATGCCAGTGTCGTTGGTATTGGCCGAGCCAATGTGGCTTACCTGAAGGAGTGGCGGACCCATGGATGAATGGATGCAATCATGAGCTGTATTAACCTGCTGGACGCGGGAGCTCGATAGGCCCCACACGCCCAAGATTGACGGTCAGTCTAGAGCGTGGATCCCAAGCTGCCTTTCCTTTGCGATGTTCTCCGTCAAAGGGCCCTAAGGGGTTCCAGTAGAAATGACTTGTGGTATATTGATGCGTCCGCTTGATCCCCCTTTCTGGCGTCTAGCACTCCGTACCTCAGTTTCTTTTCCCCGTGATATTGTAAAATGCCGAAAGCGTTCGCTGTGTCGTCGCCGTAATATCGTGACGACGTCCCCAGTGGAAGTTGCAGATCCAGACATTCCCATGTCTGGGAGCCCAAACATTGCATTGCCTCCTGCAGGTGCTGCCTGCCTTCAGCCAAATACGAGGCCGACCTTCATGCTTGCTGCCACCTGCTTCCACAGGTCTGGCCATGCCTCTGCTCCTACTTGTTCTTTGCCATAGGCCCGCATGTCCATCCTTCTCCACACATCCACGACCACAGCCCAGGGCTTCTCCGTGTCGACCACAACTTTCTTGCTGCCGAGAGCTGTGAAAGCTTGCCGCACCAAGCCCCGGTCCCGACTGCAGATGGCATGACAGGCGGAGAAAAAGAGAGGCCACAGCATCGACACTCCCGTCCCGCCGTGTGATACGGACGCTGCACAGTGCCATAGAGCTGCTTGCGCATGCTTCTGAACCAATTTGTGAGACGAAGGGTACTCGGAGATGGTGCTGTATAGATAGACGAGTGCGGTCTGTCGGTAGGCAAGCGCCGTACTGGTGATCCATCTGGTGTTGGCGAGCTCGGCCTCCGATGCGTGTTCAGGGCCATCGACAATGCGGTTGACCAACGAAAATCCCGGTGGTAAGACTGGGCTCCATGATTCCAAAGCTCTTTCAATAGCCTTGTAGGCCGTCTGGTATTCGGTCCGAAGAACTGCAAACTTGGACGTTTGCCCTGACGCCATGGTGGCCTGGAGTTCGCCCTTCATCGCGATGAGTTCCCCAAGGCGATGTAGAGTAGGCCAAAGATCATCCGCCATACCGAAAACAGGATCAATGCCACTGAACATCGTGGAAGGCGGTGAACTGCCAGGCGAGTAGGCTCGGGTAGACGAGGGGGCCGCAAAGACTGGAGACGATCCATTCGTCAAAGCATTGAGTACGTCAAAATAGCGAAACACCTTTTTCCAGTTAGTGATAAGACGAATTTTACATTTACTATGAGAACTGACCTGCTCGAAGAACTCAACGCTGGGGGTTCTGGGGGACGGCATAGCGCTGATAATATGCCATGCGCCTTGGATATGGTTATGAATGACATCGGGCAGGCTTCGCTGCGTGAGCTATACCAGTAAGTTCATGTTGCAACTCATACGACGACTTCATCTTACCAAATCATACTGTAGAAGAAGGATTATAGCTGCCAGCGCTTCTTCAAAGCCATCCCCGTCTTCTATGATAGCGGACAGCCCAGTCACTGCTCGTTCGTGGAAGCTTGCAGAACCCTCGGTATTTTCAAGACCAATATATTCTCGATGTACGCTGGCCAAGGCGTAGATAGCACTCCGAACGGCAGAGCTTCTCTGCGATAGGGGGATGATATACTGCTCGTAAGGGTTCTTGCCGTCTTCCTTAAACCCCATCGCAGGCAACATGACTTTGGAGTAGTGTTCCAGCAATCCCGTGTCCTCTGGGCAGTCGGAAACGCCATGGTATGCTGGCGGAAGCAGGTTGAGCAACGGCGGAGAGATGGTTGTCCATGTAGCTTCGTTCCAAGTGTCGAGACTAGCCGCAAAGAACGAGTGGTCTGGCGACTGCAAGCCGTCGTCAAGAGTTACGAGAGAAAACGGCAGGTGGCCGTCTGATGGTTTCTGATGGGGGCTCATATCCGTGACGGCTGTGTATTCGCTCTCGTACATGTCCGAGTCCCCGTATCCAAGCTCATAGGTGTACACATTTTCAATATCATCGTAGAGAGGCAAGATGGAGCCTATGGACGCTGAGAGACTGTTGCCCACAGATGTCGACGGCGAGAGAGAATCTTCAGCTCCAGCCTGTGGCATATCAGGGGGGGTGAGAATGTACGCGTCTGGGCTTGTTCGTATGCCGCTCTTGGTTACAGGGCTGTCCGAATCGTCTGATGCAGCGGTGTCTTGCATCTCAATTGGCTTAGTTGATGCCCTCCGCTTTCTTTTCTTGATTGGCTCGTACACGCAATCAACGCCGGCTTGGACACAACGAAGGCATCGTGGGTGTTCTTCGGAGCACTTCTTCCTCTAATGCGAATTTGGTTATTAGTTGTTCGGGCGGGGTACCTAGTGAGCAAGGTAACCAACCTTGTCTCGGCTGGAGACGTTAGCGGAAGAATCCTCAGACGGGTATGAGTAATTGACTTACCAATATTTGCAACCTGCGGATGGCACGGCCAAATGTTAGAAAGTTGAAGAAATCCGGCAGAAGGGCTTACACAAACCTGCTCTTGACCGAGTTTTGATCGGCCGTGGACGGATGGGTTGGTTAACAAGCATGTTACTGGCTGGAGGGAAGGCGTGTCTAGGGCGATGAAAAAGGTATATGCGACAGCTGTCCGCGCTCGTTAGATGGAGACTCGAGAACCTTCCCGTCGCTTCCAAAGAATGGCGTTTACTGTCGTCAATAAGTTCAGGCAGAGCAAGCAGCCGCAACGACGAGCAACAGAGGCAGGGACGGTGGTATTTCAATGGGCCACACCACAATCGAATGCACAGGGGTCCCCGAATACCCCAGCTTCCGTGAGGGGAAAAGAGGTGTGCGCTCAAGCGGGTTCGGGGAGAGGCTCGGCGAATTTGGAGACGACCGAAGATGAGTGGGTGGCATGACGAGTACCTCGCACACAGGCTCCCGCACTATGCCTTCTAGATGTGGGCAGGACTCCGGAGACCCCAGGATATGTTGAACAATGACCGTGCTGCAGCAGATTAACCGGTCATTCTTCCAAAACCCTGGTGATCGTTCGTCCAAAGCTCCATGGGATTGACGTGTTTGTGGAGAAGATGGGCCGTATGGGGTCCGAGCTTGCCGTCTGACATGCAAGGGTCAAAATTAGGTCGTCGTCTAGCATCCAAGACGGTCCAACATCGCCGCTGGTCACGATGCGATGTGGCAGACAGGAGGCCATTTGTCCAATCATCCGATCCAAAGGTCCTCCTTCTGCGTAGGCGAGAGATCATCGCGGTACTTGGCTTCGCCACTGGCTGCAATGGGCAGCGCCAGGTTGGGCAGAGTCTCGTCCTCATCCCTTTTGTGTTGCACATTGACTCGATGTCTGGATCTCATATGCGTAAGCGGGCATGGAGGCAATTCAGACTGGGATCCGGCTGGAAAGCGGACGTTGTCTCCATGTTTCAATTAGAGGGTCGCCATGATGCAGAACGAGAAGCGTTTGGTCTTACCCGCTGTGGAGCCGGACCTACCATGGTAAACGAGGACGAATGGCTCACTGAGCGACAGGACCCAAGAAGCAAGTTCAGACGTTATTAGACTTTATATCAAAATGGTGGTGGGGTTTTAGATCTGATGTTGTGGTGCCGACCGGTGCCCTGTACCGGTAGATGTGGTATGGTATTAGTGGTATGTATGCGAGAATGCGAAAAGCGGCAGGAGTCTTTCCTGGTTGCTTCCGAACCGAACCGCGATGGACAACCGTTGCCTGGATACGTACTGCCGTTTCGGCTAAACTGGCTTTCCGCGACGACGCACGAGCCATGGTGTACAGTTACCTTGGTACCCCGCGCGGGTTACTTGCGCTGGTACGTTTGAGTTTATATCGGGAGGTCAGTCTATCTGTAATATATATAAGGTACGTTTTAAACACTTTTGATACTCTATTATCAATCTAAGGTCGGTATGTATACAGTACGAGCTGTTCAAGTAAGGGTTAAGTGCCCACAAACGCATGAAAATCCCAACGCCCGCTTCGTGTCACGTTTGAGAAGTCGGCGACCTCATGCGAACATTACGTATTTAGGCAGCTTGTTGTTCCTGTCGCTCCTTGACCATAGCACACTTCCCCAGCCTCGTCAGCTCGGCCACGAAATCATTGATCGTTTTCACATGCGCCACTTCTTTTTCCGTCAGATTGCGGGTCCGCAGCCCTTCAATGAGTACCGGGACGGACTTTAGAAGTTCAAGGTCCTCTGCTGACTGTGGGTGTAGAGGGTGCAGGAGCAAATTGCAAAATATCTCCAGTATCGCCGACATTGGGTAAAACACCACCAACCTAGTGACCCATGTTAGCAAAGCAGTACAATCGGGTAAAGGGGCACGTTGCTACTTACCAGAATGCCACCTGCTCCACGCCATGGATTGCTGCTCGGAGAAAGTGCAGCGTCGATCGGCTCGCTTGCACCGACAGTGCTTGGCTTGAGCTTACTCCTTCCAAGCCGCTGCTTTCGCCGCTGGCCCAACAGCGACATCTTCCGCTTGCTCGGTGGATCATAGCCATCAGGTAATGATACTCGAAATGAAGAATGATCTCTTCCATGCCGAGCCGACCATTCCGAACAACTACTTTTCCTCGGGGAAACGTCAATGTCGGTCGATACGATGGTGGAACGGACATCCGCCAACTTTCAAGCTCGTCATCCAGCTCGCGGATGTCCCTAAGCAATTCGGCATCGCCCTTTTTCAGGGCCGAGATCGAGTACAGCCTCCTGCAGGTCTTGGATTTGATAATTGTCAGCTGCAGAGAATCTGGTTGGAGGGCTGACGTGATGGTCGCTTCGTCAAGGAACGATGGGGAGGCTCCGTCTCGGTCATCGGCACTTCGCGTCCACCAATCTGCAGGTGGCAGCGTCAGGTCGCAGTGCTCGTCGTCGATACAGGGAGGCTGGCCAGTCCGGAGAGAAATGTCCTTGTCGAGTTTGTACGCCAACCAAAAGATCCTTCTGGCCTGATTTCTTACGTGCCAACTCCCGTCACGGCCGGTTTTGGATGACTGGCCCGGGGCGTGGCTTTTGCCTTGCTCAAGGTGTGCTCCAAGCATGAACAAGATTCGGCATGCGGCTGAATGGAACATGGACCCTTGTTGCAGGTGGCCACAGAACATGTGGAACAAAGTCTGCCAAGACAAATATCATCAGCACATTTCTCTCGTAGGACTTTTGAGCACCGGATATTACCAGCATGAAGAGTGTTTGAAGAGCGTTAATGTTGAAGTTCTGCATGAAGGTCGCCATCAAGCTCTGTGCCGCGGCGACGCATGCCTCTCCATCTATCTCGGGTGTTGACTTCCATTCCGATTGGAACAGAGAGACGATAGCCAAGAAGGCGAACACGCAAGCCTTGGCCGTCACGACTTGGAGTGTCGACGCACCTTGAGGAGGATGATATGCTAGGTCGATGGTGTCGAGGAAAAGGACATGGTCAATGAGTGGAAACGTCAAGAAGAAATGGGACGTTCGGAAATGGGCCAGAAACTCCTCGACGACAGTTCTGTCAGGTAACCCTCCTCCTGAGTTCTGCTGCGGAAAATCGAGAAAGATGGGAACCGAGTGCTGGGTTTGCCAGAGCGGTCCCATGGCAAATAGAGCTTGAAAGGAAGCATCCTCGCCGGCCCTGGATCGAATCCAGTCCTGGCCATCTTGGGAGAAGAAGGGGATACCATTGTGAGAGCCGATATCTCCTAAGTAAAACCCGGCAAAGTGCATCTTCCCAGCGGTTGCGTTAGAAGCCTGGACAGATGAGTCATAGTCTCGACCTCGTCTTGTTTCCGGGATGCCGTTATTGGCTGGTGGGTCGGTCTCGACGGACAAGGGCGCTGCTGATGACGTCTGGCCATCTTGCGCCTTCCCTGCGTCCTGGCTCTGCCGAGCCGCATGGAGAGCTTGTTCGATGCGGTCGAGACGGACAATCAGGTCTTTCTCAGACCCGGCCCTGCAGTTTTCGTAAATCTTTGTTGTTCGCCCCGTACAACCAATCATCATGCCGGGTTATGTCAAGGGGGCTGAGAGTTTACCTTGTTGCGGCTACGCGCTTCTTCACCTTGGTAGCCCGATGAAAGGTGCAGGTCATACTGTGATGTTTGCACCAGTTACATTGAGGAACGGCTCCATCGCATTGAATCTATGGGTGGGAATCAGCATGTGCCGTGAGAAACAACTCATCGTCAAAACCGTCCGAAACCATACCTTCCTCCTGTGACAGGAATCGCACGCTCTCTTCCTCATCTTGCGTTTTGCTTCGGAAATAGCCGCCGCTAACGCGGCGCGTTGTCTCGTTATATCCGTACTCCGAGGCGGCGATGGGAAAACGCATCAAATCTCCTTTTTCGTGACGTAGCCAATATGCCTTACTGACATCTCTCATTCCGCAATTGATTGAGATTTGGCTGGTACCGGCGCTGGTCCCCCCCAGGTACATGTATCAGAGTTCCCGCTGACTCAGCGGGACAATTTGTCCGATGACTAAGCGGCGAAAGATAAAAGCGGATAAGCTCCATCTAGATTTGAGACTATGATTGGCTCTTGGCCCGAAACCTTGACACAAAAACCCTTCGGGCGCATCCACACCATCGTCCTGTCGCAGCATCCGTGCCCGGGGCCTCTACGAACGACCACATGCCGCGCCGGCGGACAGCAACCACACCAGCCCAAGCACGGCACTCTGGACATCGTCGACGGAGTAATGTAGCCGCTTAGTTAGCGGAGTCTGCACGCTCGCTCCATGATATTGGCGATGTCCGCCCATCGAATGAGCTCGCTTGAGCTCTGGGAAATACAGCACTAGTTCAGGGCGATGATCCTAGCCTAGCCATAACGCCGGGCAGGGTCCAATGCCGAAAGACCCACATCCCGCGAGTCAACGGTGGGCACCGGGGCTTTTGCACCACAAAGCACACAGCGATTTTCTTATCAAAGAGGGACACAGATCTGAGATTTATCAGCGGCCAGCGGCCATAACTCCGCGTCTTATATAGTGGCTCAAGAAGCTTTTTTTCGTCTACGAATCCCGTCATCTTCTTTACGATGACGGGACGCCTATGACGCTCTGACGCCCCGGCCGCTGTTTCTTTAGGCTGCTGGTTGTCAGTTGCTAATCTCCCCGTTAGTTCCGAGTGGACTCGTACGCCATTATTAGAAAGGGGTTGGTTGTACGGAGATCTCAGGTAGCTCTTTATCGCGGACCAAATCACATATAGATGCCGACCCCGACGCGATGAATCATGTGGTGGAAACCGATAAGTAATGAAAATAAATAGAACCCCGGCACACTGCCTTCTTCTTCTCCCTTCTTAACCTATCCCCCTTTTTAACGTAACCATCTTCTTTGCAGCGTCATTCATAACCCCTGACAGTAAGGAGGTAACATCAAGCTCTTCGTCAACCCGTGGAGGCGCCATGGAATCCGACGGCACGCTAACAGGCGGCTCCAACTACAGAAGCCGTCCGGCACAGAGATGAACGCTCCGGGTTTCCTCCTCGCGAGCTCGGCGTAACATGGCAAGGACTCGCGGTACGGGCCGTCAGCTCCGACGCGTCGATACACGAGAACGTGCTCACTCAATCCAACATCCCCAAGCTCGTCAAAGAATCGCGGCACAAGCCTCCCTTGAAAACGATCCTTGACAACACACACGGCTGCGTCAAGCCAGGCGAGATGCTCCTGGTTCTCGGCCGGCCCGGCTAGGGATGCACGACACTGCTGAATATCCTGGCGAACCACCGCCGGGGCTACACCTCGATGACCGGCGATGTGCATTACGGCTCGATGAGGGCCGAGGAAGCCCAGCGTTACCGGGGCCAGATCGTCATGAACACAGAAGAGAAACTCTTCTTCCCTACTCTCACGGTGGGCCAGACTATGGACTTTGCAATCCGCCTGAAGACTCCCTTTCACCTGCCCGAAGGCGTGTCGTCCAACAAAGAGCTTCGGGTCGAGGTGCGAGATTTCCTACTCAAGTCCATGGGCATCCAACACCCGTTCGACACCAAGGTCGGCAACGAGTATGTTCGCGGTGTGTCCGGCGGTGAGAGGAAGGTGTTTCCATCATTGGATGTATGGCCACCAGGGGTTCGGTGTTTTGCTGGGACACCAGCACCAGAGGCCTGGATGCCAGCACGTAAGTGATTTCTTTTGATTCGTGTGATATGATCAGACAGGGCTCGTCATAGTGAACAGGAATATGGCCAGCTGAAGCTAACCTGATCACAGGGCGTTGGAATACGCCAAGACCGTTCGCGCGATGGCCGACGTCCTTGGTCTCGCGTCCATCGTCACTCTGTACCGAGCAGGCAACGGTATCTACAAACTTTTCAACAAGGTCCTGGTCCTCGATAACGGCAAGTAGACGTACTACGGACCCGCTAGCGAGGCAAGACCCTTCATGAAACGCCTCGGCTTCATCTACTCCGACGGCGCCAACGTCGCCGACTTTCTTACCGGCGTTACGGTCCCAACGGAGCGCGCCGTCGCACAGGGATTCGAGAAGACCTTTCCCCGCAACGCCGAAGCTCTGCGAGCTGAGTACGGGAAGTCGGAGATCTACCCTCGAATGATTGCCGAGTACGACTTCCCGACAAAAGGGAAGACGAAAGAGAAGACAAGACTATTCCAGCAGGGCGTGGCTGGCGAGAAGCACAAGCATCTCCCGGATAGCAGCCCCCTGACGACGAGTTTCGCGATGCAGGTCAGAGCTTGCATCGTTCGACAATATCAGATTGTATGAGGTGACAAGGCCACCTTCATCATCACGCAGGTCTCTACATTGGTCCAGGCCCTCATTGCCGGCTCGCTCTTCTATAAATCCCCGAACACCACCGGCGGCCTCTTCATGAAGGGCGGTGCGCTCTTCTTTGCCCTCCTCTTCAACAGCCTACTATCCATGTCCGAAGTCGCCAACTCCTTCACAGGACGGCCGGTCTTGCTCAAGCACAAATCTTTCGCCTACTACCATGCAGCCGTCTTTTGCATTGCGCAGATTGCAGCTGATACCCCAGTCATCCTCTTCCAAATCGCCACCTTCTCCGTGGTTCTATACTTCATGGTCGGCCTCAAGACGACGGCGGCGGCCTTCTTCACCTTCTGGTCAGTGGTCTCCACAAGGATCATGGTAAGCCAACTGTCTTTGTTGAATCCCAACTCGGTACTTACAAACCATAGTGTATGACGGCCATGTTTCGCTCTATCGGTACGGGCTTCACGACGTTTGACGGCGCCTCCAAGGCATCCGGGTTCATGGTCCGCGCACTGATTATGTACTGCGGCTACATGATCCAAAAACCCCAAATGCACGACTGGTTTGTTTGGCTGTTCTGGATTGATCCCCAGTCTTATGCCTTTGACGCGCTCATGGCGACTGAATTTCACATTCAGTCGATTCCGTGTGTCGGACCCAACCTTGTGCCTAACGGCCCCGGATACACCGACCCTGCCCATCAATCCTGTGCTGGTGTCTCAGGGGCCACTCAGGGAGCGACGACCCTTACTGGCGACCAGTACCTATCGGCATTCTCATACAACCACAGCCACGTCTGAAGAAACTTTGGCATCGTCTGGGCTTGGTGGGCTCTCTTCGTTGCGCTCACCGTATACTTCACCTCCAAGTGGCGTCCGTCAGCTGAGGGCGGCTCTTCCCTGCTCATCCCACGCGAGAACGCCATGATCACCCGTGCCCACCGCCAGGATGAAGAGGCGCAGTCCTTCGGAGAGACCGTGGAGAAGAACAAAGTCAACAACGAGCAGAGCAGCAATGACGATGGCAATGTCAACTAGAGCCTCGTCCGCAATACCTCCATCTTCACCTGGGAAAACCTCTCATACACCTTCAAGACCACGTCAGGAGACCGCCTGCTGCTCGACAACGTCCAGGGATACGTCAAGCCGGGCATGCTAGGCGCCCTGATGGGCTCACTCCGGCGCCGGAAAGACGACCTTGCTCAATGTCTTAGCCCAGCGAAAGACGGACGGCGCCATCCGCGGGTCGATCTTGGTCGACGGCCGCCCCCTTCCCGTTTAATTCCAGAGATCGGCCGAATATTACGAGCAGCTCGACGTCAACGAACCCTTCGCCACCGTCCGCGAAGCCCTGGAATTCTCGGCCCTGCTGAGGCAAAGCCGCGATATCCCCCAGGCGGAGAAGTTGGCATACGTCGAAACCATCATCGACCTCTTGGAACTCCACGACCTCGCCGACACCCTCATTGGCCGTGTCGGTAACGGTCTTTCTGTCGACCAGAGGAAGCGTGTCACCATCGGCGTCGAGCTGGTCTCGAAGCCCAGCATCCTGATCTTCCTCGACGAGCCCACGTCTGACTTGGATGGCCAGTCTGCCTTCAACACGGTCCGCTTTCTTCGCAAGCTAGCCGATACTAGCCAAGCCGTTCTCGTCACCATCCATCAGCCTTCCGCTCAGATCTTCTCCCAGTTCGATACCCTTCTCTTGTTGGCAAAGGGTGGCAAGACCGTATGATTTGGTGACATTGGGGACAACGCAAAGACCGTCCGTAACTATGTACCCGCTATGGCGCTCCGTGCCCGGAGGAGGCCAACCCCGCCGAGCACATGATCGACGTCGTGTCTGGACACCTGTCCAAGGAGAACGACTGGCACGAGATCTGGATGTCCTCCCCCGTGCACGATGCCGTCGTCAAGGAGCTCGACCACATGATTGAAGAGGCTGCCTCCAGGCCCCCAAGTACCACCGACGACGGTCACGAGTTCGCCCTATTGCTGTGGGATCAGGTCAAGATTGTCAGCCGCTGCATGAATATCTCGCTCTACCGCAACGTTGACTACATCGACAACAAGTTCGCATTGCACGTATTCTCCGCGCTCTTCAACGGCTTCTCTTTTTGGATGATTGGCGACTCCGTGGGCCACATCACCCTGCGGCTCTTCACAATCTTCAACTTCATATTCGTCGCTCCCGGCGTGATCGCCCAGCTGCAGCCGCTCTTCATCGACCGCCGCGACATCTTTGAGACCCGCGAGAAGAAGTCCAAGATGTACCCTTGGATCGCCTTCGTCACGGGTTCCGTTGTCTCCGAGGTGCCTTATCTCATCATCTGCGTCGTCCTCTACTTCGTCTGCTGGTACTACACCGTCAGCTTCCCCGGCGATTCATCCCGTGCCGGCGCGACCTTTTTCGTCATGCTCATGTACGAGTTCGTCTACACCGGCATCGGCCGGATCATCGCGGCCTACGCCCTTACCGCCGTCTTCGCGTCCCTGGTCAACCCGCTCTTAATCGGCGTGCTCATCTCCTTCTGCGGTGTCCTTGTATCTTACTCTCAGCTGCAGACTTTCTGGAAGTACTAGACGTACTATCTCAACCCCTTCAACTACCTCATCAGTACCTGGGGGAGTATATGAATGGTATGGGATCGGGTAGCAACCTCATCAACCCGGATGCGACGGCCGGGTGCCGTGTGTGGTAGTACCGTGATGGTAGCGACTACCTGAGAACAGTCAACCTCAACGACTACTACTGCAGCTGGCGCGATGCGGCTATTGTCGTCATATTCGTCCCCAGCTCGTACTCTCTTGTCTACCTCCTCATGAAGCTTCGCACCAAGACGTCCAAGGAGGCGGAATGAACGCCTTCTAGTTATACTCAACTTCAGCTCGTTTTCTTCCGACTACAGTGGCCTCGTATCACGGCGAACTAGATTGTATCGCTCCCGCGGGTGTCTCCACTGGACGATGGTTTCTTTTTTCTTTTTCCTCGTGTGTCTTTCGCGAGCATTTGGATCATCCTCCGCGAATTTCTTTTGATGCATTTGCTGGAATGGGTCTTATCATGGCCAGGGTTTCCTGCAGGCGAGATTAATAGACTCACAACAAAGCAAAATAGACGGGGTATATATTGCCAATTCATTCTCCTTCCTTTTGTAAGAGGATGCTTTGGAGTGAAGTTGGAACAAAATACATGAGGCCTGCTTGCAGTATGATAACGTAGCTACACTCAAAGCATGCTGTCAGTCCGCCGACCTTTCTATCTCGTTAATGAAATATATAGCGGTGGCTGTATTCTGAGAAATGACTTAGTTCCGTGAATTTCCCACGAGGCAGCAATGCCTCTTCCTGTGTCCTCCTGCTGATACCAAATCGGGGGTACCGGTCCGGCCGGCAAGAGATGTGAAGCGAACAGAGTCCACAGTTGGACTCTTAGGCTCATTCTTCTGCAACTATACGAGCAACAGTATCCCCAAACAAGCCGCTGCAATGGGGGGGTACAGCACTCCAACGAGCCAAAGTTGATCTTTGCCGTTTTCTCATTCAACCAAACGCCCTCGCCTTGCGATCGAGGGACGAGGCATGGATGGGAAACGAGACGCAAGCCCGCACGGCTCTAGATCGACGAGACGGGGGACGCCGGAACCCCCAGATTTCTGTGAGTCCGGTAGGGCCGCGGCGGAGAGGGGGCGTAGTTGGCGGTTCTGCCGACCCCGCACGGAAGGCAACTCTATCACGACGCCGGCCTTTTGCACGAATATTCGGACGACAGGGTTGAGGCCAAAAGGTTATGGAATGGCAATTGGGCTAGCCGTGCTATTAATAGGACCGCCTCACAATAACAAGCTTTGCCCGAAAATAAACGCATCTTGGTGGTTACTAACCGTCTGTTTCTCCCCCTGCAGGAATGACGGGGTGGGGGGAGGCAGTGGACGGAGGAAGAAGCTCTTGGTATTTTTCAAGGAGAGAAAAGAAACGACCCCCTTGCGTCACTAGATTGGGCCGCGCTCGCTTTGGCTCTTCTTCCAATCCGTTGGCTGCCCGCTTTTCTCGTCAGCGAACGCTAAAGCTTTCAAATGGGCGCGTACGGCCCGGGACAAGGGGCTTGTCCAGCTCTTCTTTGCAAGATTCTTCGGGCCGTTCTCAGCCTCGAAATTGCCGGTTCTGTCGCCTCAACCTTACGGCTGTGAGCTGTCTCTTTTGAGTGTAGGTTTGAGAGAGTGTCGGGGATTCGAACTCTGGAACGGAAGATTGACGGAGTAACGCTCTCCTGGAGAGCGCTGGGCTTGCCCGGCTCACAAGAGGATTCTCGACTTGAGTAAGGCTGTCATTGTTCATCGATTCGCTAGGACCCGTTCTACTAGCCCCTTTCACCCCTCTTTTGCAGTTCAATTAAGCTTCTGAAACGGCACACGCTGTGGTATACGCCGTCCATAATGGCCGCCAAGAGGTCTATGTCATCTGTTTACGCACCCTTGGTAGGAACGACTTGATAGCGAGTCCAGCGACTTATGTAAAATACGGAGCCGATTCAACGCCGGGTGTTTGTGAATTGCTGACTTACCCCGCCTTGGTTTTTGAAACCACGTAGGGACCACGTCTAACCGCCATCAATAATACAGGACAACGTGGCGCAGTGCGGTGTCGCGGCCTGCCGCGACAGCACAAGGGTCCTTCGGCTTGGGTTGTGCCCAAAAGAAGATAACTCTGTTCAAGGGAAACTTTATCAAATAGCCTCATGGATGACTTCATACAATTTGCGGGGCCACTTTTGGTCTGGTGAGGGACCTCAGGTTTAAAAGGTCAAGATCCAGCTTCTGTTGAACAAAGACTTGATATTCGAAATCATCCAGTTTTCTGATCACTGGCGCTCCCACAACCAAATATCAAAAGCTCAAAGCAAAGACACATCGTCTTATTCTCATATCTCAGTCGCCTCGGACCCCCGAAAAGAAGTCAATTCTTTCAAACATGACGCTCAAGGGAATCTCGCCCGTCATCTCTCCCGATCTCCTCAAGATCTTGGCTCAGATGGGCGAGGGCGACGAGATTGTTCTCGGCGACGCTCACTTCCCGGCGCACTCGCTCTGCCCACCCCATGTGCCGATCCTCCGTGCCGATGGTAAGTTAAACCACGCTACCCCCAAGACAAGGACTCTCGGGAGACCAGGGGGGGAAAACGAAAATGCTAAGCCAAAGAAACAGGTATCACCATCTCCCGCCTCCTGGCCGGCATCACCCCGCTCCTCGACCTGGACAACTCGGGCGTGCCGGTGGTCATGATGGAACCTGCCAAGAACGACTCCTATGACGCTAGCGTCGAGGACGACTTCCGCTTCTCCCTCAAGTATGACGGTGAGGTCGCGAAGACGGACCGGGCCGCCTTCTTTGGGCGCGCCAAGAAGGCCTACGCCATCGTGGTCACGGGGGAGAACCGGAAGTACAGCAGCGTCATCCTCAAGAAGGGCGCCAGCTCCCCGTACCCGAAGAGGAAGAGCAACCAGACGTCTCACCTCTGAGGCGTGGCGAATGTGTAACTTGTATGTGGGGGTTGGGTCCGGTAACGTAGTGAGATATTGGAGAGGGGGCCCAAAGGCAAGAAGAGGCCCACGGGGGTTTCTTGGGCTTGTGAATAGTTGAATGTTTACCTCCATGTTCTCTCTGCGTTATCGAATTGGCATTGTAAACTCGGTACCCTCACAACTGTGTTTCTTACTTCCTTTAGTTAGGTAGTGTAGCAGACGAATAAGAAAAGGTCACATTCAGTCACATCAACCAGAGAAACGTATTCCGATGACCGAGAAGTTAATCTCACTTGAAGTCCTTTTAAACAAAAGCAATTGGTCAATCATATAAGCTTTGTTTCCAGTGATTAGACGAATCTATCATCAGTTCTTCCGATTCGCATGTAACTATAAAGTTCCAAAGTGCAGACTCGAAGGCTACTGTAGCCTTGTTTCCGGCGGCGATGCTATCCTTGTCCTTACCAGCACGTACTTCCTCTGGTTGGCGAACTAACAAACCCCAATGACGGTACCCGTTTCAAAATCTGCTGGGCTAACAACGAATACTGCTGCGCAATGCCATCTCCTGGGAGATTCAGGTTGGACACCAAGCTCTACTGCCCAGAGTGGCGAGCATTGCGAGGGTGGGGCCGCTCACGGAGGCGGCTCCTGGGTTCGATGCACAGTCGCGGTGTAATCAGCGCGTCCGATGGCCCATCAGTCGCCTCGGAGAGAGAGGGGGATGAGGTATGTGCGCGCGCAGCCAGAGACAAAAGACGCATGTGGCGTGTTTGGCCCAGAGGGTTTGGATCAGAAACCCAATGTTCAAGACAAAATCAGCCTGGCGGGGCTGTTCGACTTGCCGTATTCATAGGCAGAAACGGACGCCAAAAATAATCTGATTCCCAGCCAAAAGAGGGGCGTCCTTGCTGTTACGACTGGTCACACAGTGCAAGTACCCTTTTCCCGCTGTTCGTACAATATGTAAATGGAAGTATGTTTGTTTGTGCATGGCGCATGTTAGCTTCGTGAATCAACGTCGTAGTAAGCTCCGGAGGTGGAGTTTCCACCAAAATGCACAAATAGCGACGGGCCCCAGTCTCTTTGCAGAACCTGAGCTTAGTGGACGCTCGGCCACTGGGCGGCCACGTTGCCGCGCAGACCACGGAGCGACCTGTCGTCGTCTGATCAGAGTTGAAGTAGTTGTGGATAACGAGGGGAAAACCTGGGGGTCTGCTGTCAGTACGTAATAGAAACTGAGGTCAAATGATAGATAGGTATGCGGATGCGGGCCAACGAGTTTGTTGGTCGGGAGTTCTGCTCGCGTCGTCAATTCCACTTTCCCCAGAAACAAAGGTCATCGTCCATCGTAATGTGCACTTTTTTCTTCTTCTTTTTTTTCTTCTTTCTAGGCGACGCTGCTTTCCGGAACTCGCTAGGCATCACTGCCGACGGCCACCGACCAGGCGACGAAAAGTAAAGTCCTCTTGGGCGGTCTGTAGTGATGGGAGGGGGGGCGTTGAAGGAATGCTCGCTTGCGTCGCCAATCACACGGCGACTCGACTGGGACGATTCCCGTCGTAATGGAGAGGGCCAAGATGCAGTAGCTTCTCGGCGTATCCAATCGAGCCCTCACCCAAGCCGAATGCAAAGTCCTTGTTTTTGAACCAGCTTTTGGTTCTGGATGACACGAAATGCCATGCGATGCCATGAGATACAGAAACCTTGGGTTTCTTGGGTTCCTTCAACGTCATGTCATCGACGTTGGTGCATCACGGAACGGGCTGTACAACGTGGGATTCCGCAACGTACACGAACGACAGGGCTAATGCTAAGGTTGTCGCAAAACTTTTGCGCAATTTTCTCATTGCCGGACGAGTCGTTTGAACTTGGCGGTATCACCTGTTCCTTCCCAAAGCGTCGCTAGGCCAGGCCAATTCAGGCTGATGGAAGCTCTTGGCATCAGCGGTCGCGATGGGAAAGGAAACCCCATTTCAACCCCAATTCATGTTGCGCATGGTGCAGCACTGTACGGATACGCGCTGTGTAAGCCAGGAAGTAAATAGGCCTTGGCTCGTATCAGTCAAGACGCCTCTTTTAGCAGTATGGCTGACTGGTAGCCGCATCGCTCGTCAACCAGTCGCCGCTACGCCACAGGGAGGAATAAGGGTCGTCGTTGGTAAGTGTATGCCACCTAGGCTGGACGCCTCGCGGCACAGGTACCCAGATAAGAATGGGAATGGATGGTGTCAGCTGGAGCAAGCTCCAGTGCACATTGAGGCAGGTGCCCGAAGCCACAGATGGCAAAAGAGAATGCATATGGCCCAATAGCCGTACTCCCGGCGTGGCGATGATGCTTGGATGGCACAAAGTGAGACCAAATTCGGGCCGGGGCTTGACCGAATTGGGACGTGCCAGGTAGCGGGCAGCGATCGCGGTTGCCTACGTCTGGCGCGATGCGAACTCGATAAAGGTATCATGGCAGAAGCGAGCGACATGACGGAGGACGGGCAGGTCCAAACTTGGGATCGGAAAAAGATATCGCAACGAGACATGATGGGCTGCAAAACGTCGACCAAGACCGTCACTGGGTGTCTTAGCAGATGCGTATGACACAGCCTCTGCCGTTCAAGATCGTCGCTGAGAATTCGTTATCTTTGCCGAGACTTTAATCTCCATGTATTATGTTTTGTGTATCGCCGGCCAATTGTAGGCCATGGTGATGCACCACCCCTGGAGTCGGAACGGGCAAGGAGGAAGCAGGGCGTGGGTAGACCCGGCGCTCCAACAGTGCGGCGGCCGTTTGGCGTTGGCGTTGGCGTTGGCGTTCGGGAACGTTGGGGCACGGCACTATCGAGTTATGTCGCCCATGTGGGCCGGAAGGGTCGGGTCGTTTAACCAACTCTTTTGTGGACTCAACCATAATAGTTGGACCCCCATGTCGCTCTGACGGTGGATTGGCGATGGTGGTCGGAACAGGTTGATGACTGGTGGGCTGACTGGCGATCGGGATATCGGGGGGAGGGGGAGACGCGGTAGCAGGCAGGTGATGGAGGCCTTCGTATGTGGCCAACTCTCAGAGGAACGAAGGCTCTGAGCAGGTTGACGGTATAGTGTGGTTCGACAGTCTTACGGTGGCATTCTAGAAAGGTTCTTTGGCAGCGTTAGTGGCTGCCCCCCCCTATCTCAGCGGCGTACATGGCAGGCCCCTGCAACGCCAAAAAAAAAAAAAAAAAAAAAAAGACTCGCCGAAAATCAATCAGATGGGGTATGGCGGCCTTGTAACATCTGAATCTCAGCTCGCGGGGCAGAGCGAAGGGCCAAGAGGCGCAAACAGGCAGGAGAGGAGCTCGAGCTGGGTAACGGGCGTTGTGTTGCATTCAAGGATTCGGGTGAGATTGGGTCAGACCCATGAGGCCGAGGGCTGTCTGTTCTGTCGGGTGTCCTGGGCAAAGCGGCAGGATGCGAGACAAGACGCAAGAAAGCTGGTGGCTGTGAGATTCAAGCAGCTATGCCCAGACTTGGGTCATTCCCGATGAGGAAGCTGGTCAAGACTCGGCTAGAGTGTGCGGTGCAGCCAAGGGCCGCCAAAGAGACCAAGCCACGCAGCCCTGTTCCAGAAGAGCTTGGCCACAGCTCGGTAGCGCCGGGAGAGTGCGATGACATTGGCTGCTGGTGCGAGGTGGTGCAAGGTATTTCCTTCGGGATGGTTGGTATACTGGTGATCGCAGGAAGTGTACTGAATAAACAATCTGGAAGTACTCCGTAAAATGAACGGAAAGGACGAAAGGACCGAGGCAACAGCTCGTACACTACGTACCCAGGTATCTAGGTACCTAGGCAGGTAGTAGGTAGAAACATGCATCCGTAAAATAAGGTCTTGAAGGTATGCAAGCCTGCCTGCCCGTGCCTTCGCTTTTGGGTTTTGTGGGAAGGTGCCGTGGGGCCATAGTTCATCCCTTACCTACCTGAGTACCTACCTAACATGTTTTTCCCCCTCCTCCTCCTCCTCACGCAAGCACTCCCGCCAATGGTCGCCAATTCATCAATCCAACGAGGCAACAGTCGAAAGGGCGCGTTTTGTACTCTGTACCCATCCCTCATCTCTGGGTTCAAACTCATTCATCATCTCTTGTCTTGCCACCTAGTTCACAGCTTCTCCCACCCTTGCTTGGATGGGGCTTGCTGGTTCGTCACATCACCTTGCATTGACCACTCTCGCCCCGTCGTTCACGCTGACAAGTTCGTCTTTCCCGGTATCCTGGAATCGTTCCCCTGCTGCCCATCGAAACACTCAATCCCAGGCCCAGCTTCCAGCTTCCGGCCCAAACTTTTGTTTCTCTTCTTTTTTTCGCCAGGCCCAGGATCCCAGGCCCCCCCCTCCCTACACTACCTACTCCCATCAATCATTACCGCGTTGCAAGAGAGGAGAGGCTAGGAGCAGAGACCAGATGCCAGAGGACCGGCACCGTCCCACCCCCGCGCACCGCTACCGCTCCTCATCCAATATCCCCAAGTAGGTACCTACGGATAACACGTACGTGCCCCCCTCACGTACATACTCTGGGCTGAGACGATACAAACATTGCACCCATTTCCTGTCCTGCTGTCCAATAACCATCGGCCACCGAGCCAAGAAGTCCCCAAAGAGATGACCGGCTCCTCTATCCGTAATCACTTGGCAAAGACGCGTCGACCATCTCCACCTTCTGATCTCAGAAAAATTACTGGCTTTGCCAAGCCGCCCGTGATGCCTTGGATGGGATAGCTGGCCCGTGGTGATGAGAGCCACGGAGCGTCTCGCTCTCATTCTCCCTCGTTCTCGCTGGGCATCAATCGACGAATGTCCGTCCGATTACTGTACAAGTGGGTTGTCACTGACTCCGAGTCTTGTGTAGCCGCATCGCACAGACCGAGGGTCTGCTTGCCAATCGTACGAATACCTACTACTATCTTAACTCGACCCAGCAAGCGCGGCCGGCCACTTCCTTGCATCGTTTGTCTTCCACGCAGCTTCCATTGCTTCTGAACTTCCAATCAGCCATCCGCCATGCATAGCACCATCCATCTATGCATGTGCCTGTACAATGAAAGTGCGCAGCCCCCCGCCCGTCTGTCGCCTTTTTCATCCACCCTCCCCTACACCCTGTTCCTCCTTCGTCCCATTTCCTTCCGTTTTACGGGTCCACCGACTGTTGCAATCGCCGCCATGGCCATACCTACCCAGGGCTCATTCATCTGTCTCGACCCTGACGTATCTTCCCACTCTACTTGAAGTATCTGCGTGCCAGAGGCCAAGTTACCCTATCATATGGTGGGTTCCCGCAAAATAAGCAGGAAGGAGGCAGGGGGGATAAAAATGAAAAAAATAAAAAAATAAAAAAAAAATTAAATTCTCTTGAAAACAATTAAAAAAAGGGAAAAATAAATATTGTCAAAGGCAGGGACTAGGTTGGGGCGGGCAAGACGCTGTTTCCCTTGGTTCGGCTTTGTACCTTTTCTGGTTCTAGTGTACTTTGAGGTCAGGCAACGGAAGGAAGGAATGATGACAGGGGAGGGGCCACCACTAACCCTACCAGGGAGGGTGAGAGGGGTCCTGGTTAGTGTTGCCGCTTCCCATCCGTTGGATCGCTCCAGGTTGGTTGCCCACCAGAGGTGTAGTGTACATCCCCTTCCCGTGTTAGTCATGCTCCCGTACCAGCAGATTTCTGCGATGGCACTGCCGTACCCATACACCTTTGCCCAGCCTGGAGCGGGCGGCCGTGGAGTATCGAGTCCAACATGGGAGCATATCGGAGGAGCATGGGGGTACAGCATTTGCGCACCACCTGCATATGTCGCTGTCGTGCTCGCTACTGCGCTGCCTCCCTTAAACCTTGTCTGCCTGGATAGGTAGGTAGGTAAGGCAGTGTACCTCACCTAGGTAGCTTCCTCGTCTCTGTCTCGAACCTTTATTAGACGGCATCCCACGGCGAATTTCTCTTCATCCCGTCTCCCCCCCTCTCTCTTACCTCCTTACCCCTCATACTCTTGTAGTCCTTTACAGAGTAACACTAGGCGCCTCCCCTCTTCCGTCGTCAACAAGGGCAAAGATCACGACAGGCGCCACCGCGCAAAGCTTCTTCTTCCTCTCCTTGTCAGATCATTATTCCGCTCCTGTCTTGAACTAACGAGTAGCCTTCGCCATGTCCAAGGAGGATGCCGAGGTCGGCGTGGTCCAGCCCAAGTACGACCCGCCCGCGTACGACTCCGAAAAGGGTGATCACGGCACCGTCGGCAGCCACAACGTGCCCGAAGACTTCCGCGAAGATGACTTCAGAACCCGCAATGGCCTGAACCTCCGCAGCTTCCAGCGACGTAAGGCTCCTTTTCTAATTAATGCTCGCCAGTCTTGCCCTGGCAGCCCCGTGAGCTCCCCTGGCTAACATACCCTATAGGTGATTGGGGTACTGGTACTGCCGAGCTGGATCGCTCCATGAAGCCCCGCCACTTGCAAATGATTGCCATCGGCGGTTCCATCGGTGCTGGTTTCTTCGTCGGTTCTGGTAGCGCCTTTACCAAGGGTGGCCCTGGCTCTGTTCTCATCTGCTTTAGCATCGCCGGTGTCATGATGTTTAACGTCGTTTACGCTCTCGGCGAGCTTGCTGTCCTCTACCCTGTCTCTGGTGGTTTCTACACGTACTCTATCCGCTTCCTCGACCCTTCCTGGGGTTTCGCCATGGGCTGGAACTACGTATGTTTCTCTCAAGACGCCTCCAACCTTGCACCCATCATCTCTAACAAGTCGCAGGTCTTCCAATGGTTCATCGTCTTACCACTTGAACTCACTGTCGCCTCCTTTACAATACAGTACTGGAATAAAGATATCAGTGTAGCTGTCTGGATTACTCTCTTCTGGGTCTTTATCATCATCATCAACATCTTTGGAACTTTGGGCTACGCTGAGGAGGAATTCGTCTCCTCGGCCTTCAAGCTCGTTGCTACCGTCATCTTTATGGTCGTCGCGGTTGTTCTCATCTGTGGCGGCGGCCCTGAGGGCGGCAAGTACGACGAATACTGGGGCAACCGTCTTTGGAGCGACCCCGGTGCGTTCCAGAACGGTTTCCGTGGCTTCTGCTCCGTCTTCGTCACCGCTGCCTTTTCCTTTTCCGGTACCGAGCTCGTTGGTCTGGCCGCTGCCGAGTCCAACAACCCTGCAAAGGCTCTCCCCGGCGCTATCAAACAGGTCTTCTGGCGTATCACCCTGTGAGTACCAAAACATACTGCCACTGTGTCTTTCATCGACTAACATCAAAATCCAGCTTCTATATCCTGGGGCTTACTTTTGTCGGTCTCCTTGTCAGCTCCACCGATGAGCGTCTCCTCAACTCCGACAACCCTTACGCCGATGGTGTTTCTCCCTTTGTCTTGGCCCCTCTTGACGCTCACCTTTACGGATATGACAGCTTCATGAATGTCGTCATTCTTGTTTCTGTTATCTCTATTGGTGTTTCTAGCGTCTATGGCGGCTCCCGCACCCTGACTGCCCTTGCCCAGCAGGGTTACGCCCCCAAGATCTTTGCCTACATCGACAGGTCAGGCCGCCCTCTTCCTTCCGTTGCTCTGAACCTTGCCTTCGGTGGCTTGGCCTTTGTCCGTATGGCATCTTCTGGTGGTGTCGTCTTCGATTGGCTTCTGTCCCTCTCTGGTCTTGCCGCTCTCTTCACGTGGGGCTCTATTGTCGCCGCCCACATTCGTTTCCGTGCCGCATGGAAGGCTCAGGGCCACACTCTCGATCAACTTCCCTTCAAGGCTGTTGGCGGTGTCGCGGGCTCTTGGCTTGGCCTCTTCCTGGTGTTTATCTGCCTGATCGCCCAGCTGTTCGTTGCCATCTGCCCCCCCGGCGGCGGCTTCGCCTCTGCTGAGGACTTTTTCAAGGCCTACCTCGCCGGCCCTGTCGTCCTCCTCTTTTGGGCCTGCGGTTATCTCTGGAAGCGCCAGGGTTTCCTGAAGCTCTCCCAGATCGATCTCGACACCGGTCGCCGCGAGGTTGACTGGGACGAGGTCAACGCGCATCGCGCCAAGGTGGCCAGCTGGCCCAAGTGGAGACAGTTACTCAACACCATCTTCTAATCGACCAACATCCGTTGCTGCCAGGGTTCCCTGGTATAAGTGAGGGGAAACAAATGTAGTGGTGCGTGTAAATAGGGGGTTGTGTGTTGGGAAGCAGCCAGTGGTTTTCCATCTTATCCCGCTATCTTGATACCTATCTAAAGTTCTTGAACCTGTATTCAGTTACGATGCCTCAACATAGACTTCAATATATTGGTCTACTGAATCTCATGTTGGCTCTTGTCACTGAAACCCTATGGCTTCGCGGTTCCTACTCCCAGGCATGCCTAAATGGTCAAGCATACTCCTATTTCGTATGCAAGTCTTTGTTGCCTTCACTGACATAGGTAAGTGATTATTCCAGGGGAGCGTTATTGAGATCTTTATGTGGCTCTAGCCAAATGGTAAAGTTTCTGACTCTACGAGGCTTGTTTATCGAATAAGGAGTTATGTTGAAAATGCAGGGCCGCCTTCTGTTCCTACAATGTCACCCAGTCTAGATACCATAAGCGGCAAATCAGCGATTCTTGGCACCCAATTGCGATTTCGAGATATCACAGGTGCTGCCATCTCGCGTGTCCAGACATCGGAGATGGGCCCCGTCTGTACCCGGCCATACGAGAAAAAGTAACCTAGATAGAAAAGACGTCTTAGAACGAGATTTCATCCCAGTAAAAGAGGACGTATGCTGGAACTGAGTGGGGAATTAGAAGGCCAGGAGGTAATATAGTCGGCAAACAAATAACCAACTCAGACTGCTGTACCTAACAACTGCTGCTAGTCCACCCAATGCGTCGACAAACCAAGCGTGACTAACTAACAGTCTAGACAAGGAAAATGACTACATTTTCAGATACATTTCAACCTAATCAGAGCTATAGCATCCTAAAAGAGGTGTCTAAAAGCCTGGTAGTTAGTAAATGCAATTAGCTCTCTGGTTGCTGAGTGGTATAGTGATGGGTGTAAGATTTAGTCTCTGACCCACGCACGGCAAAGAAGGTGAAAATGCATCTTAACCAAACCGCAAAGGCCTAACCAAGGCGATAAAATTATCAAAACTGAGGTATATCTCTCATATACAGCTAGTCCGGGTCTTTCGACAGTTACGCATCTTGTGTGTGTTCCATAAGGGAGATACCTACTGCTGGCTTGGACGTCTTATGTTACCCCCTCGTGTCGTCGCACTAAAGCCTGGGCATTTCCGGGGCCAGCTCAACCTCGATAACGCTCTCCTTCGCGGACGGGACCCTCCAGATCTTGACGATCTTGAGGCCGGCTGACCTCACCAGCTCCTCCCACTCCTCCTCCGTACGCTCCTTCGAGGCGCCAAAGTTCATCATGAGCAAATCGGCGACGGCAACGAACGGGTGGTCCGGGCCGCTAATGACGATGTCGTGTATGAGGATCTTGCTATACCCCGGCTTCATGGCCGCCTTCTGGTTCTCGAGGATCTTGCGGGCCTGCTTGTCGGGCCAGTCGTGGAGGATGTGGTGCATGTAGTAGGCGCGCGCGTCTGTGTCGTTGTCAGTCAGCTTTCAGTATGTGGCAAGAGAACGGGAAAGAAAGAAAGAAAAAAAGAAAAGAATAGATAAATAAAGGGGGTGTGTATATTTGGAGGTTCACATACGCTCAATCGGCTGAGGGGTAAAAAAGTCGTAGGTGATCCTGTGGACGCCCTGAGCGAGAGTGGAGTTCACGTCCTCGATCACCGCGGGGACGTCCTCGAGGTACACCCTTGAGGCGGTCCCTGGGTGCCGCTCGAGGAAGCATTGGATGTCTTGCCCGATGCTCCCGCCCACGTCGACGAGGATGGGCAGCCGCGTGTCGACGTCATGCAGCAGCGCGTCGCTCGGGTAGATGGACGTCCACCGGGCTAGCTCACTCGTCCCGCTCCTCTGCGCGATGTTGAAGACCTCCCCTTCGCGCGGGTTCTTTTCAAAGTAACGGAAGAGCCCGCCCTCGAAGCCGAAAGTCAGGTTGAAGACGGTCCGCCGGCTGTTGGAGGGGTTCTGGTAACCCGTTTCGGCGAAGTAGGCCGGCATTTTGAGGCACATGGGGAGGTGGTAGTCGTCACTGCAAATCGACTTTTAGCGATACTGAGTCTTGGAAAGACAGGCACGCCTAGAAAGAAAAGGAAGGGGGGGGAGACATGGCTTACTAGAACTTGATTGCAGTGTCAAAGTCTGACTCGGCGAGCTTCATGCAGAACCCGCCAGGCTTGTATTTTCCATCGGAGGTGACCTCAACCAGGTTGTTTGCGACCAGAAGACGGAGCAGGCGCTCTAAACAGGGTTCAGAATTACGAGATGTCCTCCCACGGGAAAGCCGGTTCACTCACGGAGAAGAGCTGGATCGAAGCGGTCAGTCAAGCCCGCGAGCTCGACGGTGGTCATTGGCGAGTTCCCATTCTGTTGCCATCGCTCAAATAGTCGCACGTCTCTGAGCACCCTCAGGACGCCTGATACCATGGGCTAATTGCACTCGTGGGTTAGGTCGGGGATGGATACAAAAGTTTCTTCAAATCACGCCCCGCGCAAATGGAAACGAGCCGTACCTGGTTCATGTACATCCTCACAAAAGTGTCCCAGGGAGACTCCACTTTGTTGGTGAGCTCATACAGCTTCATCAGGACCCTGCTCCTGTCATCTTCGTTCGTGATAGGTTCGTCGATCCCGTTGGCAGCTTCCAAGAAAGCGTGGACGGCGTCCGATGATGTGTCAGTTTCCGAGGCCATGTTCAAGTTTGGTCTGCTTCGTGGGTCCGATCAGGGCGCGTATTCTCTGTTGCACTATGTATACTCGCGGTATGTAAGTTTTCGTGATGAGTGAACTGAATGTCTTCAATTAACACCGATAGACACACGCGCTATTAGATTTCTCAACAATCAGCAGACGGGTAGGTTGGGGGAATAGGAGGAGGCTTTATAACCTTGTAAATCCCGCAGCGTGGTGTTGCACTGGTTTACATCTTCCGAAAGCTTGAAGTCGAAACTATGCTTTCCAAAAAAGAAAACCTAAAACTTCTCCATTTTGAACGGCCTGTCATTGATTGGAAACAAGAAGGGCGCATTGAGTGGGATTCGGCATCTAACGGACGGAACGGGTTTTACGGAGGCTGAAGGTCTGTACACGTAATACCCCGGGCCTCACTTTCCATTGGCAAAGTTCAACGAACCAAGTATCAATGTCAAACCCTATTCTTTTATACTCGACAAACCCCGCATTCTCGTGCTTTGAACTCAGATACCCAGAGGTCTGTGACGAATGTGGGACCAAGTGCTGCCCCGTGGTCGCAAAAGCGGTTGCAGATCCCCGCCCGCCCCTACGGCTCTCTTGTCAAGGGTCACGGCTTTTTTGGAACGGCAGCGGCCGTAGCGGCGGCGGCAGATGCCGACCCCTGCCCTGCTTTGCTTTCCTTTCTTGTCAGTGGACACGAATTCTTCAGAACGGCAGCGGGGCCAGCGGGGCCAGCGGGTTTGAGAAGAACATGCCGATGAAGCCTTACGGCGAGAGCCGGAACACCGAAGAGGTTAAGTTAAGTCAAGTAATAGCAAACCTAGTACAGTTGCATCGGCATTTCGAAGAGGTGTTGATCGACAGTCAGGCCCAACCACGTCGGAATTTAATTGCTTTCGCGATTTTTTTTTGGTTAGTGACAGACGTCGCGGACACGTTAGGGAATTGTCTTTCCCTGGTCTACCGTGCAACCTAGCATTACTGATTACACAGATATGGTCACTCTAGGGATAATCTTCAAAGCATCGCAAACATGTTTTACTATAAGAATATCTATCACAGGTAAAAACCTTGTCAACATCTCCTAAAATAAACTAGTCCCCTGGTAACAACAAATAGTACTCTGTTAGAGGCTTGTGTAGTACTAAGTAGAAGAGTCAATAGTGTAGTAATTAGGGGTTATTAGTAACTATTATTCTAATCTGTCCTTCTAGAAAAACTCTAAAGCTATTCTAAAACCCCCTTTTGTGTGCTGCCTAGTGTGACGTTATTCTGCTCCACGGCTGTCCTGGTGACTGTTAAGTTCTATTATGCATGGGGAAAAGAAGGGTAACTATTGTGGGTTGGATAGCCGAACAGCCAGTTAGTTGCCGCGAATTCTCGGCGGATCCGGCGGTCCGATAGCCGAGAATTGGCCGGCAATTAGTCATCGGATTTACGGCGATAACTCCAATAGTTGCCGGCGATGGTTAACATCGCAACAGTTTCAATAGTTGTAGTAAGTGTTGTAAGATATAGAACTTTAACAACAGTTATTTGATAGGGTATATTAGCCTCCTGTAGGCTGAAGAGGCTATTTCTAATTACAAAAAAACTTTTTTTTACCCTAACCTGTTATTTGACACGCTTGTCTAATGTTTGCGGGAGAAAGGATCTAAATTCCTTAATTAGCAAATAGGCCTTTCCCCCCTTGGAAACTAAGAAATAAGCAATGAATTAGAATGATTGGTTCATCTCGGCAAGTGAAGGCACTGTAAGAGCATATAATGACAGATTAATATCCTTGTCCTTGGTGTCTTGTTCTTTCCACATCAACGGCAGCGCTTGTAGAACAACGTCCTAGTATCTTTGGGAGTGGCTACTAGCACAATAGTGACCTTGCTAGACCTTGTAGAGCCTTTTTACTTCTGTAAGCCAAGGCCCCAGAGAAATTAACTGGTGGTGTAGCATGGCTTATCTCTAGACTATGTCGAAAGGAGCTCACTCGTGGTGCTGGCGTCGCTAATGAACCTTATTTCTGTTGATTTGCTGCTCCTGGTCTTACTAAATAGGTAATAGAGACCTAAACTGTCATTTTATTAATATTAGATCAGCAGTAAATAGTAGTAAACCCTAGGTAGAGATAGAGGTAAGAGTAAGTAGTAGTAGTATACTAAGAGTTAATTAGTATAGTAAAAGGTAAAAAGTATTAAAAGAGGAAAAAAGGGAGCAAATTGGTCCTAGGATTAGAGGAATATAGAATAGGAAAACAACAAGAACATTATTAGACTAGTAGGCTATTATTTAGTTAAGACTACTAGTAGAGAAGGTAAAGATTGTAAAAGTGGCCAGAGAGTGTAACCTATAAAATAGAATAAATATAACTAATAGCTATTAGTTTTCTTTTCTAGCTAATAAGAGAGCAGAAGCGCCAACTAATTAGAGAGCAAGGGACCAGGGGGGTCCAAGGGGAACAGAATCTTAGGCGGAATAGAATAACATCTCCTAACAGTAGGCATACGCCTGATTAACCAGGGATAATTGAAGTATCCACGAACTTTAATAGATTTCTTACCTAAATATAGCAACTTAGATGACAAATACACCTAGTCAAATAGCTACAAATTATAGGCAACAACATAGCGAATCTGCCAGATATACACATCATTAATATACACCTAATTGACTAGGGATTATCGTTGTCATTAACCGCCGTATCTACGCACTTCAACAGTGGTTGTTAATCAACTAGTTTATAATAGTTAGAGGTAAGGGCAGGAGTGTAGCAGCACCCTTGCCAATAGGCAAGGGTAGGGAATACTGCTGGTGGGCAGTGTATTACGTGACCGCCCAAGCCCGGCCGCATCACCCATATGCCAACAATCACACTACGTGGAAAAGCCCGATCCTCACATGTAAAGTAAGCAAATATACGACACAAAAGGTCCAAACATGTCAGCACTAAACTATTCCAAGAGATCCTGGTAGAGACAATTTCCTCACCAGGGTAGTCCACAGCTGTTCCGTAGCACCAAGCAGACCTGATGACCTAGCATTGCTTATAGTATCCGTATTTTTGTCACAAAGCTCTCTGATCACTCTAGGCAGCACAGTAACATTCGAAAAACCCCGCAAGCAGCTGAATTGCTCCATTATCCCTAGTCTAGAACCAAACTTCAATACGACATCTCCCAGTGATAACTTCTCAAATTTCTATAAATGTTTCGTTGGAACTTTGCGCCTTCTACTTATTTGTCGCAACTTTGACATAAATCTTTTGAGAAAATATACATTCTTGCCATTAACGATCCGTATCGTACCCTGTCCTCCACTCCTTGCCCTGTGGAAACCCAGAGACATGATGAACCCACGGCGTCTTGTAGCAGCAACTGTCGTCTTGCTTGGAACCGCTGCTGCGCGGCCGATCCTAGAGACCCCGGCGGGTACCATTATTGGTTCCGTGGTTGATGGCGTTGAATACTATCGCGGAATTCCCTATGCCCACCCACCCATAGGCCCATTACGTCTGAAGCCTCCTGTACGGCTGGAGAGATTGGGCACATTTAACGCAACCGGATTCGGTCCTTCCTGTCCACAAATGGCATTTCAAGAGTCTCCACCACTTTTCAACGAGGTGGTGACAAACCCTGTGGTCGAAAGAGCGCTCTTTCTGGGAGCAGCATTGGGCAATGAGGGCGAAGACTGCTTAACCATCTCCATTATGCGTCCAGAAGGCACCTCTAAGGATGCTCGCTTGCCGGTTCTATTCTGGCTGCACGGTGGTGGATTCGAAATCGGCAGCTCACAGCCATACAACGCTTCTGTCTTGGTTCCCAGGGGCGTAGCCCAGGGCAGGCCGTTCATCCTTGTCTCTGTCAACTATCGTCTTGGAGGTTTTGGCTTTCTCGGAGGCAAGGAGCTGCTTGCGGAAGGATCCACAAATCTAGGGCTCCTCGATCAGCGGATGGCTCTTGAATGGGTGGCTCACAACATCGCAGGTTTCGGTGGCGATCCGGACGCGGTTACCATATGGGGCGAAAGCGCCGGAGCACTTAGCGTCTTCGATCACCTCACACTGTATGACGGCGACAATACCTACAATGGCCGTCCTTTGTTTCGGGCCGGCATTATGAACAGCGGCAGCATCCTACTGGCTGATCCGGTTGATGGTCCCAAGGCCCAAGCTGTGTTTGACACTGTCGTAGAAGCTGCCAACTGCTCGGCACACCCTACCTTGGACAAAGTAGCATGCCTAAGGGAAACTGACTACCAAAAGTTCTTAGCGGCTACAAATTCTGTTCCCATATTCATGAGCTACAGCGCCCTTGCGCTCAGTTATATGCCGCGTCCTGATGGCAAAATCCTCACGGCAAGCGGCGAAGCTCTGGCGAAAGCCGGGAAGATTGCTCGAGTCCCAATAATTGTTGGCAATATGGAAGATGAGGTAAGTCAAAATCTTCCTTCAAATCGTCACGAGCTTGGTTCTGGGAAGGGGTTCATGTTCTCACATGTGTACAGGGCACCATTTCGTCTATATTTCAAGCCAACATAACTACCGAAAACATGCTCGTGTCGTACTTGAACGACGTCATCTTCCCCGGAGCTACTCGGAAAGACATTGCTGCTTTAGTCAGTACATACCCGTACAACAACGGCACGGTCGGGAGTCCATTCGGCACCGGCACAATGAATCAAGCATACCCTCAATTCAAACGGTTGGCGGCCATAATCGGCGATGTCTTCTTCATCCTCATGCGGCGGGCTTTCCTGGATATGTTACCCGCTTCCATGCCCGCGTGGTCTTTCCAAGCCGCCTTTGAGCGTGGAACACCAATCCTTGGGACCTTCCACACATCGGACTTGCCACGCATTTTCTACGGCAGTGATGACGCTAGCCGAGCGATGCAGGACCGTTATATCGCCTTCGTGACCTCGCTCGACCCCAACAGTGGAATCTCCGGTTCTGCTGGCTATAGAACTTCCTGGCCAAAGTGGAAAGAGTCGCAGCAACTACTCGAATTCGGAGCTAACTCAACCCGGCTCATCCCTGACGACTTCAGGGTGTCAAGCTTCGAGTATATCCAGGCGAACTTGGACAACCTCCACCAATAGTCCACATCCTGGAGCAACACCCTTCTAATATCCCGGCTACCTCAGCTGCATCGAGTTAAAGTATGCAACAGGGCATGTAAGAATAGAAGTAAGAAAGTCGTATTCGTCTAGAAGTAGAGATGTGAAGAAAGAACCCTATATATACATGAGTTATGCGAGCAATGGGCGAAACACCGCGTTAATATATGGCACCTGACAGACCACCTGACAGGTGCTATGGGAAGCTATCGTGACAGATAGTCAGGATATACACTTGGATTGAGCCTGTGCGAAGGTACCACGTCAGACTGGGGTGCCCTTCACCCTTTTCAGAGAGCTCTTGAGCGTGAATGGAGGCAATCGATCAAACAAAAGCTAAGAAGAGTGTTGGGGTTATTGATCCGAGACATAGGCTGGTAAAGGGCGTCCCTCGAATGAAACATTCAGTAAGTAACAGGAGGTGATTTACCGGGACATATATTTTACTGTGTCTACGAGACTGTATAAGAGTTTTGAAATAAGGCTTGGGGAAAGAAGCTTAGCGTCTAATGCTGTTTACTGATAGCCGCCATGATGCCAATTTCTATTTTCAAGTTATTAGGTCTAGGTACTCCGTACACTGTCCAATCCTGCAGTGGGGTATTCAGATAATGGCGCGCCTAACCTAGTCATCTTGCACTGTGTGCACTAGAAATTCTGACTCTAGACTACAGTCAAAACGTATCCGCTGTAGGTTAAATATTAACTTTCCGCTTTCACCCCGCACTAAGCCCAAAAGCACCATCGCCTGGGGATCGTGACCAAAAATGTGGTTGAGATACTGGTGAAACGGCAGGACATAGTCCTTCCGTGGTGCTCCCACCAAAGTCGACGGCCTCTGGATGGGATAAGGAGCCTATTCAAAATCCTATAGGGGCAGCCGCAACCTCCTCACCTCTCGTGCACTAGCAGCCGATTGATAACACAACCCTGGTGGTGTCTGTTCCGACGGTCCTTATCTGCGCCGGCGTCCGATCTCAACTATCATGCGACCCGCATCGGACCGTCCGACACATGCCCATCCTTGAGATGCGGGGCTTTGGGCGGGCGCCGACAACGATGACCCCACGATGGTTGGATTGCTGCACATACTACGTAGAGACAGAATCGCCAAAGTTGTTAAAAGAGCGTCAGCTTCAGATTCTCACCTTGTCTTTCCACGTAGAGGTGATCACCAGCAAATAGGGATTTTACACTAGTAGGAAAGACGACCATGTCGGCCAGACTCGAAGACTTCATTAACCCGCTGTGGCTCAACAAATTGCAGGAGGCTCAGGAACTCGTCCTCGCCCTTACAGCTTTGGCAGTCGCGGGGCTGACCTATCTCATCTATAATGTTAGTTCGGCCTTGCTCGTATGAGATACTGAGCAACGATTCTTACCATGACGATAGGTCGCTTTCAAGACAGATATTTCCTACATCAAAGGCCTGCCAGAGATCCCCGGGGCGCTGCCCGTCTTTGGACACCTGTTACAGCTCGGCCAAGACCACGCCACTGTGTGCGAGAAATGGTGGCGTCAGTACAACCAGTCCGTCTACCAGATCAAGCTGGGAAACACGCGTGCCGTCGTGGTCAACTCGTTTGAGGACTGCAAAAAGATGCTGCTGGGAAACCAGAACGCTGTCATTGACAGGCCCACACTCTACACTTTTCATGGAGTCATCAGCAGCACACAGGGCTTCACCATCGGCTCGTCTCCATGGGACGAGTCGTGCAAGAAGAAGCGTAAAGCCGCAGGCACTGCGCTAGGAAGGGCGTCTCTGCGCAACTACCACCCCATGTTCGACCTGGAGAGCTACTGCATCCTCCGGGACCTCAAGAAAGATAGCAAAAACGGCGCTCTTGAGATCAGTGTGCGGCCCTACATTCAGCGGTATGCGCTCAACACGACCCTCACCCTATGCTACGGTATTCGCATGGACGCTGTGTACGATGAACTCCTCCGGGAGATTCTGTACGTCGGGTCGGCCATCTCCCTACTTCGCAGCGCGTCGGAGAACATGCAGGACTATGTACCTATCATGCGATATTTCCCCAACAACGAGAAGAACAAACGGTCCAAGGAGCTCCGCGACCGTCGCGACACGTACCTCAACCTGTTGTTGGACAAGGTCCGCGAAATGATCAAGCTAGGCACCGATAAGCCTTGCATTTCGGCCGCCATTCTCAAGGACGAGGAGACGAAGCTTACGGGTGTCGAAGTCTCGTCTATCTGTCTGTCACTTGTCTCGGGCGGCTTCGAGACGATCCCCGGAACACTGACGTCGGCTATCGGATCTCTCAGCACCCCCGAGGGCCAGATCTGGCAGGACCGCGCGTACGAGGACATCAAGCGGTATTACCCGGACATGCGCGACGCCTGGTCTTCCAGCATCTCAGAAGAAAAGGTCCCTTATCTCAACGCCATTATAAAGGAGGCCGGTCGTTATTATACCGTCAGCGCCATGAGCCTGCCTCGCAAGACCGTTACAGAGGTGAATTGGAATGGGGCCAAGATCCCGGCCAAGACGATGATTCTCATTAACGCCCAAGCTGGAAACCACGGTGGGCCCAAATATTCCTTCTTTTTTTTCTTCCCCCGAAGCTAATGTGTGACCCAGATGTCGACCATTTTGGCCCCGATGCCGGCAAGTTTGACCCGGAGCGCTGGTTGTCCTCCTTGGACCCCCCAACCGAGCGCGAGTCCGTCGGGCTAAACCACCTCAGCTTCGGCACCGGCTCGCGCGCGTGTTCGGGCCAGCACATTGCGCACCGCCTTCTGTACACGGCGCTGCTGCGGCTCCTCGCGTCGTACAAGATTGTGGCAAGCGAGGCGGAACCACCCAACACGGACTACGTCGACTACAATCAGTTCAAGTCGGCGCTGGTGGCAATTCCACGCGACTTCAAGGTGAAGCTCGTACCGAGGGATGTTAATGCAACGGAGGAGTGTTTGAGGCTAGCAGAGGAGAGGACGAAAGATCACTACAAGGAGTAAGGGACCTCATTGTATGCGCTCGAGAGTTGCAAGGTGAAAAGCGACGATGGTCTCAAATAACAGGCGGTATTAACCTGGGATAGGGGGTTGCATAATACGGTAGTTTGACTTATCTAACATCTTGCACCAACATTTGGGCTAAAATCGAACAACAAGTTACGAGATCTCATAACATCTCTTAGAAGTTTAGTGCGCCGATCATGATATCGACATGCTTCAAGTGACGGGATGGTCTGCCGAGAATGGCACCTAAGAATCCCGACGACACACGTTTGAGTGGTAGCAAAAACCCTACGATTGATGTGTCGGCAGCTCCGACACAGTCGAAATAGCTATTGATAAAACCCCGCAAGCAATCACAGGACACTGTACACAGTTCAACTCTAAACTAAACATAACCTGCTTGCCCTAATCCCCTAAACAAACAAAGCATAAACCACTGGATAATGGCTTCACTCGATGTCACCCAGTTATTCGGCGTCAAGGGGTACGTCGCTGTTGTGACGGGCGGAAGCAGTGGCCTCGGATACATGATCTGCAAGGTAAAAACCCCCACGGACACACTCTCTTGCCCCGTCACATTGCTGACCATCATAGGGACTCGTGGTCAACGGCGCCAAGGTGTACCTCGTAGCACTTCCCTCTGAGCCCATTGACGATAAGGTCGCAGAGCTCAATAATCTTGGCAAAGCCTCTGGAGGCAGCGCAGTCGGGTAATCAACCAGTCACGTCCCTCTCCCTCTCACAATAGTCACTGAATGTCATATCTAGGTACGCCTGCGACGTCTCATCCAAAGAGGCCATCGCCGGTCTCGCGGCATTAGTCTCTCAGCGAGAATCTCATCTTGACATCCTTGTGTCCAACGCCGGTATCCGCCGTGACCCCGCCATTCCCTGCGATGTCACGTCTGCCTCCCTCGCGGAGCTGCAAGCCTCAATGTGGTCGCACCAGCAATCCGACTGGGCCGACACCTTCAGCATCAACACCGCGGCGCACTACTTCCTCTCCGTGGCCTTCATGCCCCTCCTGGCAGCAGCGTCGCAGCGCGACGTGAGGGCCGGGGTCAAGGGCAGCAGTGAGGGCAGAGGCGTTGTGGTTGTGACGAGCTCGTGCGCGAGTATGCACAATGCGACCAATGTCGACATGTCAAGCTATGCGACGAGCAAGGCAGCGACTGACCACCTGGTCAGGCTGTTGGCAGCCAAGTTTGGTCGGTGGTACATCCGTGTTAATGGCATCAACCCAGGCTGTAAATCCGTCCCCTTCCTTTCCTTTGCCCCCAAAGTGCCCGGCGACTGACGGCTTTTAGTTGTGCCGAGCAAGATGAACCCCGTGGGAGAAGAGGGCAATATGTTTGCCAATCTCTTTGATCAAGTCCCTGCCAAAAGGGCGGGCAGCGAGGAAGACATTGCGGGCGCGGTGCTATACTTAGCGAGTCGGGCTGGGGTAAGTCTTGAGAAATCCAACGATGACCTGGAGAAAAACAAAGTGGCTTACAAGAAGACGTGCAGGCATACATCGATGGGGTTAATCTGTGTGTGGATGGAGGACGTATCTTGGTGGCGAACGGACAGACATAGTAGTAGCGTGCCTAGCATTCAAATTGTGTGAGACTTGTTGAAACACATCACTCGCTCGTGCGAACACCAGCCAATCTTCGCCTTCTTTCCGTGCATGTCTTCTACATTTCCCTAACGACATATACGCAGCGAGAGCTGTTCCTGGAGATGAAGCCATCCATGCTCAAGAGTCGGGAACATTTTGGTAGACGTCGGCATTTCCGCCAGCGAAAGTGACTAGCTGGGGACCTTGCGGCGGCGGTGCCGATAACGTCCGAGTTGAGCACATTATTAGATAGACACGCATGAGCCTTGAACGAACATGAAGCCTTCGAGCCAAAGACTCCCGTCAGTGCTTCACATCAGCCTGGGCCAATTGACACAATGTCCATCGTCTCATTAGCAAGCGATGACTCACTGTACGTATATCACGAACCTGAACTAGAGCTCTCTCTGACAACTTCCAGGTCTGTTCTCAACGAAGAAGAACTACACCGTCTCGCCGCCGAGCTCGGCTTCGCCATATCTGACCCTCACGATGCGCAGTCTTATCTTCTCTTACTCAAGTCTTTCGAGGCCGTCATGCTTCAAGTAGACACCGGGGATGACTATGTCCATCCTGCTCTGTCCCCCGTGCCTACCACGAAACCTAGATCATTCTGGAAGCCGGATGCCAAAAACAATCCCTTGAACGCCTGGAGCCACCGTTGCGATATCGCAGCCGCCCAGCCGACCAGTAATCTTCTCGGGGCCGGAACGTCGCCGTCAAAGACAATGTGTGCGTCGGCGGCCTGCCCACCACGCTGGGCACGCATCCCGAAATCCTGTCCAGGGACGGTCCTCTTCCTCTCTCGCCTATTGACGCAACCGTCGTGTCGCGCTTGCTTCACGCGGGTGCCCTGATCAAGGGCTCCTCAACATGCGAAAACTTCTGCGCTTCCCCCTTGGCGTGTACATCGGTCACCGGACCGGTGCATCACCCGCTGCTGCACGGGTACACAACCGGCGGCAGCAGCAGCGGCTCATGCGCCCTCGTCTCCTCAGACGCTCTGCACCGGTCAGGAAAGGGCGCCTTCGGGGAGACGGCAGAGCTGGCGATTGGTGGCGACCAGGCGGGCTCTATCCGCATCCCGGCATGCTACACGGGCATCTACGGGCTGAAGCCAACGTTTGGGTTGGTTCCGTACACAGGTGCTGCTTCCATGACGCCAATGATTGATCATTTAGGGCCAATTGCGTCAAGTATAGAAGATATCGCTATGCTACTAAAAGTCATGGCTGGATGGGATGGCATCGATCCCCGGATGACACCCGAGACGCCTCTCGTGGCCAATGTCAAGGACTATCCCGCCCTGGTCGACGAGTACCGCCAGACAACTTCCGAACCTGGACAACCTGTCTTGAGGATAGGATTACTGAACGAGTCTTTCGGCGTGACGGGTCTGTCGCAGCAAGTGTGCGAGCTAGTGCGCAAGGTAGCGAAAGAAGGCTTTGAAGCCGCCGGAGCTACGGTCGTCGACATTTCGGTCCCCATGCATTCCGAGGGCCCCATCATCTGGACGGCTGCCACCCGTCCATCCATGGCTTTGGGTCTCCTACATGGGAAACCATCAGGCCACCTATCATACCTATCACCTCACACCAAGACACAATGGCGTTCGAGCCAGGACGCTTACCAGCTTCTAACCCAGTCCAATCCCGCCGTTGTCAACATTCTCCTCAGCCAGGTCTTCGACAAATCCCACTTGGACGCCTCCATCGAAGCCAAAGCCCACCGGAAAGTCTTCGAGTTGCGCGCCGCCTACGACGTGGCCCTCGCGCAGGTCGACGTGTTGGTCACGCCATGCGCGCCGACCGTCTCCATGCCTCATCCCGACCCAGGTGCGTCGATAATGGAGAGGCTAAAACCTGCCATCGGATTAACAAGCAACACATGCCCTTTTAATATTACGGGACATCCGGCGATGAGCGTACCGTGTGGAGAGTTGCCGCTGACGGAGAGGCCTCATGTGAAGATGCCCGTGGGAATGCAGGTCATTGGTAGGAGGTGGGAGGATGAGACAGTAATGAGAGCGGCGATAGTATTTGAAGAGGGACAGAAGAGGCTTGCGCGTGCTCAAGGCTGAGCTTCTGTAGGACATAAACGAAAACTTTGTACCGGACTATGCTCTCGCCTCTGTCTCTGCATGTGCATCTTCTATCAAAAAGGCAGCGATCTTCTCATCCATCCACTCTACATCCGCTGGGTTTGACCCTGCACCTGCCAAGTGTCCCCAAACCGATGGAATCACCTTCAAACTCCCTCTCTTCAGCATCGCGACCTCGCGCTCGCTGGCGTCGGGGCGAAAGTATTGGTCAGTCCGACACGGCATCAGCAGAACCCGCGCTTCAATCCTCCCCAAGGCCTCTTCCAATCCGCCACCGTGCGCCAGAATACTGATATCGCCGTTTTGCCACATGCGCAGCTTCACGAGCAGGTCATTCGGGTACCACCCATCGTACCGCGGCCCAGTGGTCTCGCTATCCCACGCGTGCAAGCTGTCGTACCCCAGTTCCTTGTAGAGGTGCTGGTCGAACCACTCAGCACTAGTGAGCCACGCTGAGTACGCCTTGCCGAACGCGCGGACACCACGCGGCGCATAATCTTGGGGCTTTCCTGTGAAATCGACAGCGTTTTCTAGGGCGGCGGACGGGCCTTCGAGGAATTGTCTGTTATGACCGCTCGTGCGAGCCGAGGAGCAAATGATGACGGCATTGCGTACCATGGTCGGATACATGACAGCCCAGTGGTAGGTAGTCTGCCCACCCATGGAGAACCCCAAGACGATGTCTAGAACATCGACACCCAGATAAGCAAGCAGCGCATGCTGGGCGCGCACGCAGTCGCGGTAGTCCAGAGAGGCGGGGAATGAGGGCGTGTTGGAAGGGCTGGAAGACTCGCCGTTGCCAAACAGGGCGACAACAAGAATCCTGTGGTTTTTCAAAGTGCCCGAAGAGAAGTTGAGAGTTGATTGAAGAGAGCCTTTGAAGCAAGTTGGGATGAGGGCCACTTTGCTGGCAGTGCTGTTTATGTCGAGGTAAGCCAGGCGGGCGAGGGGCACGGTGGTCCCATTGGTGAAGGTGAAATGGGGGAGGTCAAAGTAATGGACTGGAGATTGATGTTGGGCCATCTTGGCCATGTCACTATCGAGGTTTGAGGGCGAAGGGTGAAGCTTGTTGCGGTCCCTGTTTGAGGACGACTGGCCGTGCTGATACCTAGGGCGGGGGCGATGTATACATGTACATAATATCCGTATTGGTTGTCTATATCGGAGGGGCCGACCTGCAAAACCATAAAACAAGAACTTGAGAAGAACCCTCAATTACTTGTGTTAAATGAGGCAGGCTACAGTTTATAAACCCGTTCACGTATTCCGCACTGGTTCCTTATAGCTTTTGCTTTTGTTCCAAAAAGCCGAGGCGTCTTGGAGCCAGGGACACTATACGTGTCAGCATACCCAGAAGCTTAGAATACAACCCAAAGCCCACGCCTCCCACAGCACAATAGCTTTGCAATAACAAGAAACATGAACTCAACGTGTAGCTGACAATGAAGACGATGGTCAATCTGCGGAACCTGCTCTACGATCGGTCAAATGTTTCTCCCTCAATCGGAACACCCAGTCAACAGGACTTCATCCTAAGCCTGAACACGCGAAGCCTTCATGGCTGTTCAGCACAGCGCCCGCATTATAAACGGCGGTTTCGACGGGAATTAAATGCTTGCGGATGAGGCGCATACGTAGATCAGTGCAACAAATCCTTGTCGCTTAAAGGAAACCAATGAGCGGAAACAGCTTCTCAAGCACCAGTGAGACTATTACGCCCCAGTCGACGCGCCTGACGACACGATATCCGTTGCGAACCCCCTTTTGTGGGAGAAGTATTATTGCGCAACGACCCCCACGGCCCGGCCCGAACACAAGCGACAAGCTCACTCCGCCCAGTACGCCGGGGTAAAATTATGAGATATAACTCCTTGTCAACATGAAATACGAAGATTTGGTTCAAAAATTGGCTTGGAAGAGAGATCAATCATGGTGTGTTGATCCTGACCATTCCCAAGCCAGACCTTAGGACGGAGGTCAGTCACAGTTTGAGACCAGCATGAACGAGGTGTCGGGCCGACTTCCCGCGGACTACACTCATCAGCATGTCTTCTTCAGGACTTTTCCGTCGGGACTTTGAATCGCAGCGGCCGACCATTGCCGGGGCGGCGACTCCGAAGGCCTATCCACCCCCGTCCGGTCGGGTTGCCCGCCATCACGTCGGCTGCATCCTCTCTGGACCCTGCCGCACGACGCCGGTCTTCCCTTAAAGTAGTAAAATGCACCCAGAAGCAGACCATTGGCTACCAAGCAAACATCAAGCAAGAATCTCACGACTTCCCCTACATCCTCTACTCATCATACGACCACAGCTCACCATATTCACTGCAACGAAGACATAACCGCACCAAGAAAGCATCATGGCTCTCAACGGCGACGCCTTTGTCATGAACCCCTCTGCCCCGGAGCCACCCACGCGTTACGCCCATGCTCGCCTCGCCCCTGCCGCTCCCCACCGCACCATCTACATATCGGGCATCGCCTGCGTGCACCCTGCCACGGGTGAGTGGCCGGGCGTGAAAGACAACGGTGACGGCACGTACGCCCTTGATGTGCGCGCACAGACGGCAGCGGTGCTGTCCAACATCGACCTTATCATCCGCGAGGCGACGGGCGGCAAGGGCAGCGTCAAGAACTTGATTGATAGTGTTGTCTACGTGGTCGACATGAAGCGAGACTACCAAGGCATGAATGAGGAGTGGAACAAGGTATTCGCGACGAGGGCCGAGGCACCCGCCAGGGCGACAATTGGAATCAAGGAGCTGCCGGATCCGAGGATGTTGGTCGAGATTAAAGGTGTCGCTGTTGTTGAGATGTGACCAACATGGCCATCAAACGATAATGAGAGTCACGCATAGCCATTCGATGATTTCTGAACACTTTTTTTTCTTTCTGCTGTGATCATTCTTGCAAGTCAATCTCCCTGTAACGAGCCACAATTTCCTCGACCATCCTCTTGATATTCTTAGCGGCGGGGAATTTCACACTCAACGTATCAAACAGCTCGATCGCCAGCTGCAGCGTCTCGATCGCTTTGCTCTCCCTCAGCACCACCGCCAGATTCTCCGGCCTTGCCGTCGTCGCATATGTCAGCGACAGTGTCGATGTGAAGAGCGCAAGCAGGTTAAGCCAGTTGTACGCAAGCCGCTGCTGTCGGTGCATCGTGGTGGCTTCCCGAATCGCTTTGCCCGCGGCATCGCCCAGCGTCTCAACGCGGGCCTGGTCGAGTGTTGGGAGAAGCGGGGACGGGCGGTACAGCAAGGCGACCTGCATGTAGTAGTTGAAGTCGTACCAGTGACTGCTAAGATGGGGCACATGCGGATGCGTGTCGGGTAAGGGGAAGGGCATGCTACGGCGCCAGTCGATAAGTTCGCGATGGAGGGAGTGAATGATGGCCTCGCGCTCAGAGATGGACATTTGCGCGTTTCGTTTGTTGGAGTAGACAGATTTCACAATCTTGCTAGACAGTTGGCGCAAGCGGAGGAGGTGTAGGGGGACTGCCATGGTGGAGGGTTGAAGGGTGTTACGCTGGCGAATGCCCGTGGCAGTGATGTCTTCGTCGTCAGCGTCGGCAAACGGCTGTCTATGTTAGTTATGCTGTCTTTGATTTCCTCTAGGTACAACTCACTTCGACGTCTATGTCATCGTCGTGCAAGGCAAAAGGTCGCCCGAGTGCTGTTGATACAACCCTTGAGAGTCTTTAGCCCGAGAGAACGCACGCCGACAGTATTTCTTGATATTATCTTACCGATCCATCATATACACTGAATAAAAGACACGCTTTCGATGCTCGGCAACATCAACGGGAAGCGCGTCGTATGAGGACGATGTGTGCAAGCCCATGCCGACCGATAACCTCGCTGCGAGACCTACGAGAAACCAAGTATCTGGTGCCACGGGTTAATATCGTGAACCGAACTTCAGAATGGGGGGCGTACTTGGCCCGAGCTGGTTGAAGAAAGAGTATGATACCTGGAGCATGATGACCTCTAGCGCGACCTATCACCAGTCAAGCTCTGCATCATACCCTCAATCACGTAGCGCAACGTACCATGTCGCCGTATCCAAGAGCATCCTCCATATAGCCAAGGGCCTTGTTGTAGTACAACATCGATTCTGACTCCTCACACAGGGCAACCGAGCAGTATGTGGTTGATCCTATCGCTAGTATCATCCACAGCCTGAACATCCACAGCGGCGATTGCGCCGCCGGGTCCTGAGGGTTTCTCAGGACCGTGACCAGCGTTTCTTCAAACTCATTCCGCCGCACAATGGGATACAACGTGTGGGAGTGCGCAAAATAAAAGTCCACAAGGTGCTGTAGGTGACTCTGCGGCGGTATCTCAACGTCCACCAAGGACGGTTGTGGATCTGTGATATCGGATAACGTGATACCGGAAAAGAAGGGGTGATGAAAGGCAGTCGAGCTGTCAAAGCCGTGGTACAAAGTCGACCCGAGCAGGTCGGCCGGAGATCCGCCCAGGATTTGATTCGTGGACTCGACCTCGAGCTCCCTGTGGAAGACGAAATCAGCGCGGTCCGGCGTGAGCCTCCTAAGCACCGCCTGCGTCAACCTGGCAAACGACAATCCCGAAGCAGACCCCAGGTGTCGTTCTGCCGCAGCCTCGAGCGTGAGCAATCGCAGCTCATCACCGAGCGTCGTCGTGGCCGTCATTGGCCGGGCTTGGGAAGGTGATTGATCTGCGGCGGCCTGCAGTATCGGAAACACCGACCCCGACGGCTCCATCATCTGGTCCTCGAGCATCGTGTCACGACGAGCCGCGGCCTGCGCGTCTTTCAACGCAGCCGCCAGCTCGTCCTCCAACTTTCGAATCTTGTCCTCCAACGATCGCACAAACCTAGTAATAACTCCCCGTCAACACCAGCACGATTGCAAAACGTTTTGGTTGGGGCCGGGAAGGGGAAAGAAACCCACGCAATCGGGTACGCCGCCGCCTGCTGATCGTCGTTGAGGAAACTACACGGAAACCGTGCAATGCGACAATTACCGCACTGGGGCAGGACCCGGTCACATTTCTTCTTGCGCCGGTGGCAGCGCTGGCACGACGTCCGGGCCTGTGCCTCGCAGGGCCTTGTTGCTGCGGCGGCAGCGGCGTCGACTGCTGTTGGTGTCTGAGGGAGCGGCATGGCCGTAGGAGCACTTGTGCTTGCGTCAAATGGTTACGGCTTCTCCGACGGGTGTGCTATAGTGCTGATCTGTAATCGAGGGGAACTGACGACCCTAGCATTGTCGAGGCGAGTGGATGCCCAAGAACGGGAGAGAGATAAGACAGATAGGGCGGCAAAGGCGGATTAGATTGTGGGGAATGCCTGTCTCTCGAATACCAGCCGTATCCCAGGACGGGGATTACGAAACGTGCCCTAAGATAAAGCCGCGGTACAATTCGAGTCTTCTTGAACGTCCCAAAAACACGAATGACACTATCTTCCATGGTTGTCTTGGTGGAGGGAACCTTGTTACAAATCGATAGCTAAACATCTTCCAGAGCCTATCTTTCTCCCTCCCGTGCAATCATTCATCCCAAGTTCACAACTACAAGGAATAGCCCCCATCAACTACAACATTGACGCCCGTTATGCTTCTGCTCTTCGCAAGCGTATATACTTGCTCAGCCACGTCCTGGATTTCGTGCTTGTTAGTCTTGTCTTTTGCTCTTTCAGATTGGGTCATCATTCACGTACCTCAACCGTGACGGCTCTCTTGATTTTGGTCTGTTGAATATGCGCGTCTTTGATATCATCTGAGAACTTTGAAGCCCAATCCTATCGCCCATCTCAGTCATCAGTGAATTCGGTGCACTTTCATCCATACTTACTGTGAGGAGTAGACCTGGTGATACGGTATTAACTCGAATCTTTGGGGCCGCGATGACCGCAAGCACCTTGGCTAGGTGGATCTGAGCGGCTTTGGTCACAGCGTATGCCTAGATTCCGTAAGCCGCGGGAAGTTAAGAAAATGACAAATGAGTAGTTAAACAGTACCAGGGAGCTTCCACTAGCACCAATACCAGCTATGGATGCCGTAGTGATGAACGCACCCTCCGTCTCGTCCAAATGCTTTTTGGCGGCATGCATGAGCCAAAGGTGTGACTTGACATTCATGTTGAAGCACCTGTCCCAGTCATCCTCTACAACGTTATCTAAACTAATGCATTAATTTTACTCAGGTCATATCTGGGGGCAGGCTGTACACACCATCCAAGTTCGAGATGCCTCGGAAGCATGTCCATCCGCCATTCGAAAATACAACGTCCAATCGACCCATTGCCTGGATAGTTTCATCAACGAGTTTCAAGATCGCGTCGCGGTCCCCCAAATCCGCCTGAATGGCAACCACATTGGAGCCTGTCAACATCTTGATTTCTTCGACCAGCTTTTCTGCTCTTTCCAAGTTGCTGCTGTAGTTGATAACCACTCTGAATCCGTTCCTAACGAACACACGGGCAGCTGCGGCGCCTAGGCCAGCACTCCCAGCTGTGATGAGAGCAACAGGTGTTGAGTCCATGGTGATTGTTCTTGGCTGCTCTCTGAGACGTAATTCCTATTGCATAAGTAGAGTATGCAGCAACCTTTTTTGTTTAGAGTTAGTAAATACCGGCGCGTGATGGTCACGGCACAATGCCAGAGGCTTATATGACTCCGCCTTTGTTACATCGCGTCTTCCGATGTCGGCTCTCTCCGCCTACACTAAGTTGAATCGGATCTTCCGACGGCACTACACACCGACCCCGCACGGATAAGATTATGCCGGGTTGGTGATAGCAGGCTGAATAACTTGATACACCGTGAACCAAACTTATGTTGGGAAAGACCTCTTGATGCCGATGACGATCCGTAAGATAGCGCCTTCATGGCGGCCCGGGGACAATAAGTGGCTCGAAATGAAGCTTATTACTGTTTGGCTGTTCCTAGACCAGTACTCATGTCATCTGAACGACAATACTGACTTGAACATGCAGTTTAGTTGAAGGAAAAGTAATTGTTCTCTTTTAATGATTAGGAAAGAACTACAAATCGAGCTTGAAGTGATATAATACATAATTAAAAACCTCCGAAACATGTCTTCTGGCCAATGGTGAGCCAGTCAGCCGTGATCTTGAGAACGCTATCTACTTCATATACCTTAGATACAGCGGTTATCCATCCAACGGTCCGCGAACTCTGAGGCTTTCAGACTGGCAATTGTGACTGAGGATTGGGTTCAGTAATTATCAGCTTCAACATCTGTCCCACCATGGGCTAAAATTGCGTCTTGTTATCAAGGGGTAATTGCACCATCTAACTCCATGGCCTTGACAGAAGCGTTTTTGTATTATCAAGAGATGTGTGGAACATGAAAACACTAAAGTTTCTCTCCTGGATAAAAAGCCTACTGAACTAATGATTTGATCCTTTCACTCAAACACCTTATTAATCAGCCTCCCTACCTTTCCAGGCTCCCGAGGTATATACAGAGCTTCATATTGATCAATCTCCTCTTTCATCCCGCCTAGGCTAACGTCTGCAGTGCCAGGTCTAACATAGCGTGTTTTGAAGAAAAGCTTCCAGCCAATAAAGGCCAAGATGAAAAAGCCAATCATTCCGTAGTCCAAGAAGAACCACATCACATCCCACCCCCCAGTTAGAAACAAGTCATATCCTGCAGCCAGGAGCATGAACAAGGTGCCACCCATAGCGAAGTATGAAGTATACGGCTGGAATCTACCTTTGTAAGGTAGGGTCTCCCGTGATATCCCTTGTTTCTTCAGCGCCGCGTAAAAGTGACGATATGTCAGTGCCGTGAAGCCGTAATTAAGAAGTTGACAGCAGGTTATCAGGTCCACCAGATAGACCAGAACGTCTGCCGATTTGCTACCAAGCTGCAGGAAGGCCAGCAAGCAGAAGGATAGGGAGAGAAGTAGCGAGTATAATGGTACGCCGTTCTTGGTGCACCGAGAAAACAACTTTGGCGCATAACCCGTGAGAGACATGCCATGGAGAACGCGGGTGGCTGAAAACAGTAAGCCGTTCCCAGCACTGAAGATGGATGTCATGATGAGGGCGTTGACAATATGGGGGAGAACGTGTATCTGCAAGCGGCTCATAGCAATAATGTAAGGCCTGTACCAGAAAGTTTAGCGTCTCAAGTCAGATTCTTGCCGATAAGATGAATCTTTTCCACTTACGATGCCGCACCAGTGCCTTTTCCCCCGCTTTCACCTCCCAGGATGGCTGCCAAGGTCGGATCGTCGTACGGAATCACGATTCCCATGCATAGCGCGGAACCGACGAAAAAGAATAAGATCCTCCACACGAAAGACCTGTAAGCCGGTGGCAGAATCCGCCGAGGGTTCTCCGCCTCAGCAGCCACCATCGAAATGTACTCAGGCCCACAAACCCTGAATAGTATGTTAGTAACCCAGTTTGGCTGGGGAAACTCTTAGGAAATAAAATTGTTGCGAGGAACATACGAGAAGCTCGCCTGGTACATGCAAGACAAGATGCCAAGGAATCTACCTGTATTTCCGGAAGCGTTGTGCTCCACAAAGGCCCCAGGGCTTTGCCAAAATCTGAACCCATATGCATCATGGAGCGGATTGCCACCGACCATGGTGATAAAGGTAAAGAAGAATAAGCCAATCATTAGCAACACCTTGAATATGGAAAGGTAAAACTCGGAAATTCCGAAATATCGGACGGTAATGATGTTGAGAAGGGCATATAGAGCAATCATGGGCACGATAATCGCGACAATTGGGACAGCGTCGGTCCAAAAGGAGATCATGATGCCCATGGCTACAATCTCGAAAGGAACGAGAATCGCCATGTTGAGAAAGAAGTTCCATGCCATGGCGAATCCCAATGCCTCATCAACCCACTCGCCCGCAAAGCGGACGAAAGGCGACGGTACAGGCACATAGGTTACCATCTCAGCAAAACACTCATTCACCGCCCACATGACGCAGCCCCAAATAATGAAGGCAACGAAGAGGCCTGCAGGGCCGCCCTTGGGCAAAGCAGCACCCATTTGAACGTATAGAGCTGGAGGTGGTGGTCAGCATGAGGCCGTCCAAAACGACGAGACTTCGGGCTCTGGACTTCTGGGCGGGCTGAACGCACATGTACCGATTGCTCCACCAATAGCAAAGAGCTGAACTTCCTTTCCTCGAAGCTTGCGATGCAACGCCTGGGAACCGGCCTTTGTGTTCAAAATGCTGCCAACACCGATGTCCATATTGGAGCCGTGTCCCAACTCATTGTCCACAGAGCTGAAATGGGGGCCCTTCTCGGCGTGCTTAGAGGTAGCCATGAGGGCATGTGATGATAGCAGTGTGTTCCTTGCTTGGGCCAGAACTGCGTAGAATGTCGGGATTGAGATGCACTTCGGAGGGTGGACTCGACCTGCCATAAATGACAAATTCGCTTGCCTCGCCATCACCCTTGAATTGGCTCGATTGCCAAGTGTAGATATTACACGACTGGGCCGCCGAGCTTATCGCGATAGCACTGATTGCGGACGCTTGGGGATTGGACGTCAGAGCATGGATAACGGAACTGATATCGCCAGACATTATCCGTACTGTCGGACTAGCCCCCGAAGTGGAGAAATGTTTCATCGTGTTATCGGCTGGCCCGCAAAAGATCAAGATGGTGCGAGCTTAAATCGATATCAAGATTGCACTGACCAGAAGGACACTTAGTGTCAGCTTCGGAGCGCTTGATTGCCACTGAGGACCGTCCGGTTGTCTTGCTTAACATGCTCGAGCCGATAAAGACACACTAACTACAGATAGTTGCATATACGGCAAAATTGAAGCTGCAAAGCTCATGATAGATATCATATAAGAGTCAATAACAAGTTTTAATCGCAAGGGGCTTTCTAGGGCTTTATAGAGGAGTTTCAAAAGCTGATCACTGTTGTGATAATTGGGTATTTTATCCTGGGCTACCGGCAAAAGGTCAACAGTCCCAGTTGGGCTTTCTGAACTTAGGCCTTGTAGTCCCCTCGGCACTTGTATTCTTCGTACTTCAGATGTGGCTGGAATTCACAATACAGCGTCTCCTTTTGTTTGAAACACGCCCGTCAGTTTAAGAGACATATTACGTGTTCTATGTTATCAAGACTTACCGGAGTGCTTGCCATCCTAAAATTATACGCTGCTTCCTCGTCGGAAACGAAGTGCTTCTCGAGTCCGGCAGCCTCGACTGCGAGCTGTACTTTGCAACTCCTCTCCATCAAACAGAAAAGGTACGCTGCCTCATCCACCGTATGACCCACAGTCAAAAGCCCGTGGTTGAGCAATATCGCAGCTTTTCCTGTTCCCAGACTGGCGGCAATCCTCTCGCCCTCGGAGGCTTCGTTGGCAATACCACCATAATCGGCGTAGACCGAATGCGCATTGTAAAAGTAGCAAACGTCTTGGTTCAGCATCTCAAGGGGCTTTGAGAAGGCCGACCATGCCTTCCCACAAACAGAGTGCGTATGACAGATGGCATGAACGTCGGGCCGGGCACGATGCACCGCGCTGTGGATCTGGAATCCAGCAGCGTTGATCGAGCCAGCGGTGTTGCCGCCGACAACTTCGCCATTCAGGTCGACACATATCATGTCGCTCGCCTTGAGCATCCCAAAATGGACGCCCAATGGATTGATCCAAAATCGGTCTTCGTACTCGGGATCTCTCACACTGATGTGGCCTGAGATACCCTCTGCGTATCCCTCACTCGCGAAGACACGGAAGGCCCCTGCCATGTGTTCCAGCTGCCACTGGCGCGTCTCAGCATGAGAGGCAAATTTCGGGATCGACGGGAGGGCTTTGCCTCGGTGAGCCATCGCTGACATTGCGTCGACATCTTTGGTCTCGGTATGGATAGGCACCGGTGTTGATGAAGTAGGTAGTACATCTGCTACTGCCGAGGGAGCCATTGCGTTGCGTTTCTTTGGTCTGTATACTCCTTTAGATGCGTCTTGGAAAACCCGATTTTGGTTACTGAGTTGGTATGAGTACTCTAAACTGGTGGGAGATAATGTTGACCATTTGCCATCGGACAGGTCTCATGGCTGGCTAGATATCTTCTTCGCAATCATGATTCATGTCTATAACGCTTTCGGAGCTTCCGACATCGCTGCGATCCCGGCCGAGGTGAAAGCTAACTTAGTTCGCAAGTGCCGACGACCCACAAAGCTGCAGCCAAAGCGGGGTGATGGAACACTGGACTAATTTACTCGTGATAACACACACCAGAGCCATTTGTAGGGTTGGTTCTGACGATTAACTTAACAATACAAACTATCCTAGATCGAGACTTTTTCATATATCCTTATCCAGGATACGTCGGTTAGTGACATTCGACAGTGGCATCAAAGCACCTGCTCACAAGGCCATCAAAATGGCACGTAGCATTCTCCGTGAGAGTAAGTGACAATAATACATCCATGTGAGAAATACTCGCCCAGTTGTCCTGAGCTGATTGATTTTATTAGTGGCGCAAGCTGCTATCAGCAACCCAGTGCCCATTCTCACGGTCATAGTTATTGCAAGCGCTGTGTACCACTATGTCTACAAACCGCTGGCAGCATCCCCTCTACGGCTCATACCTGGCTCCAAAGTCTACGCAGTGACGAAATGGCGTCTGGCGCTCGATGACTATTATGGCACAAGGACTCGGAAAATACATCAGTTGCACCGGAAGTACGGAACAGCCGTTCGCATCAGTCCTAGTGAGGTCTCGTTCTCATCTCTCTCGGCCTTGCGTACCATCTACGGCGCCGGCTCAGGGTTCGAAAGGACCAGCTTCTATCGCATGTTCGACGTTTATGGACGACAAAACTTATTCACGTTTGCGGAGGGGAGAAAGCACAGCGAGAGGAAGAAGCTGCTTGCGCACGCTTACTCAAAGAGTGTGGTTCTATCATCGACTGGCATCGCCAGACCCCTCGTGGAGAAAAATGTCAAGAGTTTCCTCGCTCTTCTCGAACAAGAGAAGAGTGTTGCAGAGGAGATATTTCACAGTTTGCATTGGTTCAGCCTTGACAGCATCACTGGATTTTTGTACGGAAACAAACACGGTGGAACTCATGCGCTGGAAGGAAACAAAGCGGACAGGATGATGCTTAACGACATCATCGACCCCAGCAGGAGAAAGCTCAGCTGGTTCGTTGTTCATCTCAAGACATACACGAACTGGCTCTACACGAGAACCGGCGTCACGGAGAAGCTTGTCACAGCTCTGGGTCTTCTTCCCATGAAGAAGCCAGCAACATACACAGGTATTCGAGCTCACGGCTTGCGATCATGGAAAGAATTTGAATACAATACTATCGGCGACGGGGAGTCATACGATGACAGAGCAATCATTTCAAAGCTATGGCAACACAGTAAGAGCGAGAAAGAACCCAGGCTCGATGGCCTGGATATCGCGTCCGAGGTTGCAGATCACTTCTTGGCCGGGATCGATACGACCAGCGACACTCTGATGTTTGTGATATGGGCACTCTCCAGGCCTGAGAATAAAAAGTACCAAGAACAATTGATAGCGGAATTGGATCTCATACCTTCCATCTCCCGTAACGAAGACGGAAATCCGACAGCGGAAGTCGCGGACAAATTGCCTTTTCTCGATGCAGTCATTAAAGAAGGCCTCAGACTGTACGCCCCATTACCGGCGTCGGAGCCACGCTCGCTACCTATGGACACCACAATCGACGGATACCACATTCCTGCCGGCACAGTTGTCAGTATGTCACCATATACCCTGCACCGAAACGCAGCTGTGTTTCCAGAGCCTCTCAAGTTCAAGCCAGAAAGATGGCTGGGAGACTGTGGGGATGTTACAGAGATGAGGAAATGGTTCTGGGCATTCTCAAGTGGTGGAAGGATGTGCATTGGCATACAGTACGTCTTCTTCTTCTCTCGACAGAATTCGCACGCAAAGAACGCTAACAAGTAGCCAATAGCCTTGCCATGGCAGAGATGACGACTCTTCTAGCAGCCCTCTATTCGCAATATACAACCGACGAGCAAGACAAGCAAAAGAACGTAAGCCCCGGAATCACAAGTCGGTTTGAAGTATTCTCCGACGAAACTTTTCCTGTAGTTAAGGTAAGCTGCGAAATGGTTTGGTGCTGTTTATTGGATCCCCACTAATCTCTTTGATAGGAGCACGAGTGCTGGATCAACTTTACAAAACGAGAATTGAGAAACGCCGCCAACTAAGTCGTGGTATATTTTCCATTCCAGCTTCAGGATTACACAACTTCTTTTTACAAATCCCAGGCTCAGGTAGAATCGCCCAAACATAACCAGCTACAGTGTTCCGCTTTGAATTTGGTACGGGTGCAGGTGCCGCTGATGTTTGTCTGCGAATTTGACAGTTTTTGGAGGCAACAGGACGTTTGGGAACTCCTGGGTGTACTTGACTGGAGCAGATGTTATGGAATGATGTACTTGGTGGCTGCGCAGCTGTCAGTGGTCAGAGATTCAAGCTATCGGAACAAGCATGAAATGGAGGCGTTTGATATGCAAGTATCATTATTTGTACCAAGGTCTCACAGTTTGTCAGCCATGTGGCATAACAAGGCTTTCACTGAATTCTCTTAGCATCGACGGTAGGCCAATAAAGATTGAACTCTCCAAGAGCCCTGGAGTGAGGCTAAGCATACTGTCTCATTAGCTGACATGTGTATGTGTAGCGCAGCTTTAGATGCATGTTGTGAGGCTAGTTTGTCAGCGGAGTGGTCACGACTATGTAATTACACACCGTAAAATCTTACCATACCTTTCAACCCCTGTTATTACCTGTCGCGCTCTTCGTGTAGCGTCTTTCTGCCTCCAGCCTGATCGTATATTGTCTAGAATCCCTTTTCTTCGAGCATAAACTTGTGCGGCGCTATCAAATTTTTGCCGAAAAGGGACTCATCCCTCAACTGGACGTATCGTATGTATCACGATGGATACTAACAACGATTACAATTACTCGCCCCTTTTCGCTTTCCCCATCCCCTAGCCTCTTCCATAAGTCTCGCACATACATGTTCCGGGGGGCGTTTCCCGTATACATTTCGACTATTTTCTTTTTTAAGGGAAAAAAAACACACGATGATCATGACCCGAAGACCACATCGGCGACACATGGAACGACAGGGTTTCCTCCTTCGAGCCCAGTAGCGGCATGGTCTGTTACCTGTTCAGGGACGCGGGCTGCCGCGGTGGCTGGTACGGTGCTAAAACCGGGGTCAACTCGATGCCCGGCTTAAACGATCAGACCACCAGCTTCCAGTTGGGGATTTAGAATGTTATTATACGGGAGCTATCCTAAAAGGCAAGGCAGCGTCGGAATTCAGAGACTTCCTTATGCACAGCTGGCCGCTCTCACTTTGCAGTTTCACAAGGCTGTGTTGTAGAACCAGCCACCCGAACCAATCGCAATCATGTAGTGTTATATACTTCTAGCACAGTCCTTTGGCATAGTGAATTGTACGCCAATCAAATAATAGCAAAATCCTCTACAGTCTCGGCTGTCAGGAAGAGCAATGCTGAGTAGCTATTGAACAAGCATCTTATCAATTACGAGAGGTCAGTCGACGTACAAAGATAACTACTACCTTTGAGAAACATCGAACCCAGTTTCAATGCCTCTTATACTGATACTGATAGGAGTTACTTGGCTTATGTGAGAGTCTTGATGCCGTTCAGAGTAGATCACGACTAATACCCAGGCCATCCATTGTAATACACTGGAGCTGCAGCGGTTTTGAAGTGAAGACCAAGTTGTTAGATAGCGATATACCGATCGATACATGCCAGCAAGGGTCATGAGACGACGGCTCCAGTCTCTTTGGGTATTCGTGAACGATAACTGGTTGCCACAAGACGTAGAAAGTAGATCGTGGCGTACAACCCATTGATTCGACCTTCTTCTATCATTTTCTTTTTTGATCCTCTAGTAGAAGTAGTCTTCTCAACCAAACACATTTGATTCCGTTACCTGTTTACTAGCGGGCTTCTGGCCGCTCCATGACGAACTATATAGTAAATGAGAAACCGATCCCCCGAGAGGAATGTGGTCCACCATAATGTGGTGCCCGCTGACCATGTCCGAGTCTATACCACAACGCCGCCAAATAAATCGTCCGTCGGAGTCTTGCACTTCTTCGCCCTGATACTTAAACCGCCCGGGTCTTTGTCCCTAGCTCATTGCGACTTCGGCTTTCTAAGCGGAGCAGTAACAGAGAACGAGACGAGGCTGTACTCGGTCTTCTCGATATTCTCCTTATGAGCCGCATCCTTCTCGCGCAAAGCCTTCTCGTCCTCAGCCTTCTTCTTCTTCTTCTTCTCCACTTCTTCATTCTTTTCGCCGTCCTTCTTGATCTCCTTGACCACGTTGCCGTTGCCATCCAGCTCAACCACAATGTCACGCGTGTCCAGGGTGCCGTCTTCAGTGTACATCCACATCTCCTTCAGTTCACCGCGGACAAGGCCCGTCAACCACAGGGAACCGAGAACCCCAGGGACCAGGTACAACAGCGCGGGCTGGCCATGCTTGAAGATGGTCAGCATAGAAAGGGTAACCAGCATTCCCAGTGTATAACCGATCAAGGAAGCGTTGAAGTAGGTCTTGCGGAAGGTTGATCCTCGCACAGTCGGGGGGGGCATCTCTTGTCCGCCCTTGAGCAGGCCCAGCCACGAAGAAGACCAGAACCAATCTCCCCAACATCCGGTAATATCGAGGTAGGTGGCCTTCTGGGCCATGTGCTGGGTCTCACTAACAGTGACGACATCTCCTGAATGGGCGTCATGCTGGTCAGACTTCAAGTCGGTCGGAACGTACTTGATTTGTTGCTGGTAGTGCCGCCACATGTCGAAACGGAGGGCGAGGCACATGACGATGCCGGGGACAACGATGTCTCCGAGGCCGAGAATGCTGGATCTAGCCGCAGACTGGAATTGGAGCTTAATGGGAACGTCAAGTTTGGTGGCGACGGTGATCATGTAAGGCCTGGATAAGAGTCAGCGAATGTTCAGGCAGAAGGGGCTGAATAACTTGCGTGTAGAAGACCATGACAATATCGTAAAAGAACAGCCCCATCAGCACTAGGCTGCCGGTAGCGAAGGTCGTCGGCGACATGATCAGGAATGATCCGTAGCAGAAGCCATAGCCCATCAAGTTGGAGAGGAAAGGCGACCCAGACATGAAGTAGGCAAAGACAGCCGTGGCAGCCAAGTTGAAGCCGGTGACATGGAGGGCGGAGATGTGAAACTTTTCTCGGAAGAGACCGTGGACCTTGGCCTTGACTGTCCACTCGTCAGTCAAGACATGGCGTAGATCCCAGAGGAATCGATTGACATTGATTCTATTGAACGGGATGAGGGAGCGGAGAGCGAACGGCAACGGATTGCTCTTCTGGAGAAACTGTGCGTTGTTCCGGTCCGTCTCCTCTCCCGTGAACTGGATGAAAGATTCGTCATCGTCATCGACACGGTACAGCGAGCCATTGTGTCGGAAATAATTGGGAAACACGAAACCCACGGCGACCTGCAGCGAGTGCGCGATCAAGGTGGACAAGCTAGCAACGCCCATCACGGACATATACACCCTCAGGATCTTGTTGAGAATCGCCGGGTCCTGTAGCCATTGGATGAGGTAGTAGAGACCGATCAACATGGCACCGGCGAGGAGTGGGAAGAGGATGGCGTCGGTCGGCAGGAGACCCTCAGTGATGGGTTCATCCTCCTTGCGCTCACGTTCCCCGTCCTTACGTTTTGCAGGGGCGGCCGAGGGAGGACGACGAAGGGAGCCATGGGCGCCAATGTAGATGGTGGCCAAGGCGCTGAAGATGAGTTTAGCCTCTATGGTGAAGAGGCTGGCGTAAAAGTGAAGGTCCCACTCCGGCACAGCAGACGTGCCATTGCCGGTCGTGACGTTGCCGGTGATGTTGTGTGTGATCTGGTCGAAGGGAGGGGTGATCGGGCTAGGCACCGCTGACGAAGCCATGCTTACAAAATTGGTGCAAAACTTTAGCGCAGCAGACCTGTGATTGAAGCTGGACAATTTGTGCGAAGCGATGGAAGTTGATGCTCGTCCGTTATTGCAGGGACCGAAGGTGCAGATTCTGAAGTCGTGCAAGCAGAGTGCAAGGGTCAATAGCGCTGATGATGATACAGCCTTGTCGAATGGATACTGATGAAGTCGCAAAAACTCCCTGGGGTTATATACTCCTCCTCGCAAGGGTACCGGCCTGGTGACTGTGTCGAAAGTTCGATGCCTGGGTGGAAATTACCCTCAGGTCGTAAAGGTGCAACCTCCGAATGTAAAGAAAGGCCACCTGTCGGCTCTCAGAAGGGCTCGTTGAAAGGCCCCAACCGTGGTTGGCGTATTGGGAATGATAGCAACGTGTTACGAGCGAGACGAAGTCTAGTCTCAAAATCCAGAGGAGCTGCCGAACGGTTACAAGTCACTCTTCTGGGGGTTTTTTTTTTCTTTCTCTTTTTTTTCTTTTTTCCTTTCCGTTTTCTTTGGCCCTCCCCGTTGGGCTTTTTGGTTGGGTCTATGGGCCGCTGGAGAGACGAGGTAAAACCAAGGAAGAAAGCAGGAAGTCGTCGGACGTCCCGAATTGTCCTCTTGAGACGTGAGAGGGAGGGAGCAGCTGTTCTGTCTCGTTAGTCGCACCTTCCGCTTGGCAAAGTGCGTGCGGTGTGAGCGTTGCTGCTGCAGTAGTCGCTTTGCGCCGGGCCAGGACAGCAGCTGCGAGATGCGATGATGCAGTAACCAGGTACGGGAGGGAACACAGCAGGGGCAGGGAGGCAAGGAGGGAGGGAGGTGGCAAGCGCCCTGCAGCGCAGCTCTCAGTGCGCCCACCAATGGCACAACGGATTGCCGCCGGGAAGGTGGGTGAAGCTCGCACCTGGCCGGCTGTTGCCGCCGCAGACCTCATCGCAGTCGCAATTCGACATCGCAGCCTCGTCCAAAATAATTTATGAGCCCCTCCATACATCCCACTACCCACGACGTGCCGTACCTCTAATCCCCGCACCACGGAGCTGCACCACAAGAATCGCCAAAGATGACCACAAACGTCGCCCTCGAGACCTCAATGGTACGTTCAATCACACTCATGATGCAACGCCCAAGCTACAGAACCCTCCCAGGGAAACAAGGCAGAAACACTCACTAACCCTTTTTCTTAAACTTGAAATAGGGCACCATAGTCCTCGAGCTCTACACCGCCCACGCCCCCAAGACCTGTACCAACTTCTCTACCCTCGTCTCGCGCGGCTACTACAACGACACGGTCGTCCACCGCATCATCCCCAACTTCATGGTCCAGGCCGGCGACCCTACGGGCACCGGCCGCGGCGGTACCTCCATCTACGGCGAAAAGTTCGCCGACGAGATCCACCCCGCCCTCAAGCACACCGGCGCCGGCGTGCTGTCCATGGCCAACGCCGGCCCTGACACCAACGGCTCCCAGTTCTTCATCACCCTCGCCCCGACCCCCTGGCTCGACGGCAAGCACACAATCTTCGGTCGCGTCAAGAACGGCCTGAGCGTCGTCAAGAGGATGGGGCTCGTCAAGACCGGGCCTGAGGACAGGCCCCTGGAGACGGTCAAGATTCTCCGGGCTTCCGTTGTTGACGACGGCGGTGCGGACGAGGCGTAGTTAGGTTTTAAACGGCTTCTTTCCTTGTTTTGTTTCATAATTCAAATGCATGGCACGGAGTTTGGTGTTGGGTCATAAAGACACAGTCGGAGCATATTGAGTCAACAGATACCAGGGAGCCTCAGACGCATGATAACCTCCAAACCTTGTCTAGAGTTCATCCTCGTGCCCACCGCCCCTGTATTCGTCTGTATCGTGCCACCGCACAGCATGTCACAAATCACACGAAAAGGCTCGGAGACGATAACCACAAGTCAAAGGGGAATCAATATCATTCGGTCAATGCCTATAGTAACCGCAATCTCTAAACGCCGCCATCCGCCTCGCCGGGTGATGCACGAGTATGTATGGGGGAAATTTCCCCACTCCTTTAAGAGAACCCTCCCTGACCGACTCCTAGAACCATGCAATGTTATGGGTCTCGTATATCAAGTGTTGGTGGCAGCCGTGCTAGAAGATCAAATTTTGTGATGAATACAAGGCGGTAACGGGTAGTGTGGTATCCGACTTCGGTGGTCGGTCGATCCATGACAGCTTTCTTGGTCGTAGTATACCCGTAGCCTGAAGATAATGCTCATCCTGACCTGCGGCTGAAACCAAGTCATGAATGAAGAAAATAAAGATAATAAGAGTAGTAGACACAAAGAGATAAGTAAGTTAGGAACGGCGCCTCTTGCTGGTCTGGCTCTCGTTATGGTCCGAGGCTCTTTGTCGCGTCATTGTAGCTGGTCGGGCCTCGGAGACAGGCTGCCGCTTGACACAAGATTGGCTCTTGACGACGGAAGGACCGCTAGTAGCGGACGTGCCTGTGGTGGCAATTGGAGCCATCATAATCGTTTGACCTTGAGCACAGAGCTCCTTGCGCGAGAACCTTCCCCGAGCAGAGGGCTGGTGTACTCTGCGTTGGATTTTGATGATTGTGGCCTTCTTGCTAGAGTCAATATCGTTTGGCCTTGTAGATTCGCCGATCGACCAGGACGAAGGGGACGTCGCTGACGTCGACGATGATGACGACGAGGGCGATGGCTTAGGGTGTGGATCGCTGGCCCAGTTGCGCTTCTTGCCGGTACCACCAGGCTTCTAGTTTGGCGGCGAAGACAGGGTGCCGGACGACTCGGATTCGGCGTCTTCGTTCCGCCCGTTCTTGGAGAGCGGCGACGATAGCGGCGGCTTAGCGGCGCCGAGCTTAAGTTTTTTAGCCGGGCTGATACCTTTGGCATCTTTTCTCTCCTTCTTCGGCGCGACCTCAACGGTCGAGTTGTCGCCGTCGTCCGGCCTTGCCTCGCGGCTCAGCAGGGAGCTGGACTTGACCTTTTCCTTCTTGGGACCCTTCGTCTTCAGAATGACCTTCTTTGTCATCAGGGGCGTTGACTTGAGCTTCTTTTTCTTATGGCCGTCGGCCGATTCGTCTTCCTCCTCGGGCGCCGCTATATCCTCGCTGTCACGCTTCTTGGGGCTCGAGGCCCGCGACGCGGGTGCCGGCGTGGCCTTTTGACTTGACGGGGGCGTGCCATCAGGCTGGCTAGCACCATTGCTGCCGTTGGAGATCTTAGCCGCCGCCGCGCGACTTGCATTACGACCGCTCATTCCTATACAGGAGCCCATGTGGTTGTTGAGTCTTGTGACGAGAATGCATCGCTTGCACTTGCTGCAGGTTGCAGAGGGGAATGAGAGAACATTGGGCGGGCGCGATTCGCCAGGGGCGGGCGACTCAATGTTGGGGTCGGGCTTCATGTCCTTCTTCTTCTTGCCTCGGCCGGGACCGGGCTGAACCCATGTTTGACCGTAAATGTCGTAGCCGGGTTTGTCGATGTAGGGATGCTTTTTGCAGTAGATGACGCTGGGATCGGGCTTTCTCGCGCCCTTGCCGTCGGTCGGGTAAAGCAACCGCGGCAGGTGGCATCTCGGGCAGACGATCTCGGAGGTGGTCTTGAGGGGATTGCCCTTGAGCAGAACTTTGCCGTCCTCGTATATGGCAGCATCGGTCTCGATTCGGATGTCTGGTTTTGCTTCCGGGGTCGAGCTCTCTGATGCGTCGGAAGCCAGCTTCTCGACACGTATAGCGGCAGTGGTGGCTCTCGCCATCTTCTCGTCGCGATGGACCTTGAGCAGCAGATCGTGGACGATGTTGTACATGAGGTCGTCAAGAACGGCATGTGCCTGTTGCCGGATAACAGACTGCGGTTAGCATCACGTCGAGTCATCAGCCAGGGCAAAACGACGCCTGCTTCACCCATGCGTCGGGTACGGTTGTCCAGGTGAAGCTAGGTTGGGACGGGGGAAGGGGGATCGTGAGATCGGAGCACACTTACAAGCTTGTCCATACTGCCACTATCATCTGGAGCCACGATTACTCCAGCCTTGCCCGTGTTGGAAGCCATCTCGACGACGAGGCCGATGGAACGGCGCACAAAGGCAGGGAGTGGAAAATGCCGTCGTGATCGTGCTGCAGCCTCTGACGGCGGAAAGCTTCGTTTGTGGTGCAGGAAAGTTGTGGTTGCGGGATGTGGAATCGATCTGAAATCGGGTTGACGGGACTAAAATGCGGAAGGTGCCACACGACCGGACGAGGGGGGTGGGTGGTTGCGAGAAGGGTAATTACTGCCGGCCGAGAGAAAAAAAAAATGTTCGGAACCTTGCGTTGCTGACGGGAAGTACCTTAAAAAGGGTGCAACAGCGATGGCGAAAATGCCTTGACAGATGGGAAACTGGGTGGTTTTTTTCCGGATTACCAACCTGCTGCTAACCAACCTAAGGTAAGGAAAGGAACAATTCGGGACGGAAAAGCGCAGCAACAAAGGTCCCAACACCGCAACTACCTTACCTTCCTCCGCTCACTTGGCTCTCTGTACGTGTGAGGTGCTCTAAAAAAGACAGACAACTGTTGGGATCGACGGCCGGAACAGGAATCAATATCTATGAATCTATGATGGGAGGAGTAAAAACGACCCAGGCACTATAAGGCTACTACGTATAGCAGTCACTATCACCTCGGCTTGCCCTTGAATCATGACATGGTATCATGTCATTTGCGTGCGCAAGTACAAAGGGCATAAGCCGCCCGAGCGCCCCTTCGTAAAAGTCGCCAACATCGATCTCGGGCAAACAATTGCTACTATGTACATTGCATGGCACGGGCTCAAACCCCCTAGGCAAGTCCAATCGGAAGCCGCTACAGCTACATTGTGCCATCGTGCAAAACCATAACGCCAGGAGAGCGAGACAGAGAGAGTAACGCAGCTTATCGCCTGCTGTATCGGCAGAGTAACATCAAGTTTCTGCATGGCAGGAAGACGATGGCTCCCTGGACCATGGGGTTCATCACAGGGGGGGAAGTTCGGATGCCGTTATTACCGTGAGCCAGCCACAGGGCGGATACAGTGTCCCCATCAGCGCATGCATGTGCCTGAGTTAGTGCCCCCTTTAAAACCATGTGAGGGGACTCGGACTCCATAACCCCAGTCTGCACTATCTCGGAGCAGGTTCACTTTCGGCCTTTGACCGCCCAGCACGTCAGCGCGCGATCCAATTGAGATCTCCCTGCAGGTGCTGCTGGCTGCTGGAACCCCATCGATTTTAGCACTGGCAGACAGACCTGATCACTGACACTCCTTGCCGCTCTGCAATTGCTGTTTGATCTCAGTAGCTCATCGGTGTCCTGGAACGACCTAGTGGGGCCGCCTTCCCGGCGGAGCCTCCAAACACCGCAACTTTTGACCGCACCTGCCTTGCGTGTCCTGTGCTGTACCTGCTCACTCCAGAGCGTTCGGAACGTTCACTCTACATGCCACTTTTATTGTGTTAGGCACCGAGCATGGTACTTCAACTGTGATATTCATCTTTTTTCCCCCTCATAACTCTGTATCGTTAATATTATATACCTATGCAACTTCCAGAGTGAACGCCTTGTATTAGGTAGTTACTACGTAGTATACCTTGGTTCACTCTACGTACCCACCCACCCAGCTGTGGGGAAAGTGCTTCCCTCACCACTGTCCACGGTCACAGGGGGCAAGCACCAGCAGGGCCTCCAAGGAGTCAGTCCTTCCTCTCCAACCGAGCGAGTCACCCCTAATGTCCCAGTGCGTCGCTGGCAGCCCGAAAAGAGTCGCAACCATCTAAAAGGACATTTTCGTCCGAAACCTCTCTTGACTCTCTTTGCTTTTCCTATCCAGGCCTCCTTCGCCGGCTCCGGACTGACACGCGGCATCATACGTCCCCGGCCCAGACTTCGCCGCACGCGTGTGTAAATAATGCTCTCCTAACATTCTGTAATTAGCTATCCTCCATAGACTCCCCATCCAGAGGTCTTGTGGTCGCTTTGCTTTCCATTCCTCGCGCTCTTTGTACACGCCCACAACCCATCCCGCTCACTCGTCCACGTCGTCCCCGTGCTCGACTCGACCAGAGGACGCGCTACCTTCCTTCCCAAAGGCCACGACAGTCAACCATGTCCCTTCCTCAGACCACGACAATGAAGCCGACGCAGTCGTCCATCAAGTCCTTTTTCCAGCCTCGTCAACAACCCTGCTACGCGCCTCCGCCCCCGACATCAAAATACGCGCCCGCACCTTCCTCGACAGAAGCTCCGACTGCCCCTCCTCTCCCCGCGACCAAACCCCCCACCTCAACACCGACAGCAGCTTTCACTCCGACCACGGTATCACCAACTCCTACAACGACGGCACCATCGCCGGCGGGCTTGACGCCCATCCACCCCAATGCCGCAATCCGCCCCGTGGGCGACCGAGACTTGCAGCCCCTCCGCCGCATCAACTCCCTCCTCCTTCCCGTCGCTTACCCCGAGACATTCTACGCCGCCGCCCTCACGGGCCCTCTCTCCCGCGTGATAACCTGGTCCGATCCTTCCACTCCGGGCGTAGAGCAAGTTGTGGGCGGCGTCGTATCCCGCGTTGAACCCTCTCCCTTCCCGCCCACTTCGCCAGGCGCTCGGTCCGAACACGCTCTTTACATCCAATCCCTGGGTCTCCTCTCCCCTTACCGCTCCTACGGGCTGGCGACTGCCACCATCGATCACCTCGTCGCCGCCGCTACAGCCTTGTCCCCCGAGATCAACCTCCGTTATGTGTATGCCCATGTCTGGACGGACAATGAAGAGGGCATGCACTGGTACACCGCCCGCGGCTTCGAACGCTACGGAGAGCCATTGCTGGGATACTACACGAAGCTACGCCCAGACTCGGCTTGGATTGTGCGTCGCACCGTCGGCCCGTTGTCCATCGGCGGCCCGATGCATCATCCCGAGAAGGCGTCTGCGCCTAGACCCGGCCCCACCGCCGCCATTGCGAACCTCCCTCCCATGAGCGGCGGCCCTCCTCCAGGCACTGGCGAGCCGCTCTCGAAATGCACCTCGGGTCAGTCCTTCCAGAACCGTCGCGCCGCAACAGAGTGGAACGACTTACCCGAGGAGATGGCGCCGGGCTTGCTCGCTGCTCCTCGGAACAACGCCGGGTCAGGAGCAAGCTCGAGAAGCAGCTCCGCGGCGAGGAAGAAGAAGGACAGATCGTACCCTGCTGCGGCATTTCAGAGCTAGAGGATGAGAGGCCGCCAGAAAGACGCAATGAATAAGCTCACCAGATGGGCCAGCCGGCCAGGCTCAAGAGCTTCTCCTGGTAGCCATGAGAAGTACACCGGGATCATTGAAAATCGAGCTCCATAGTGGCGTATATTGAGGGCCTCGCAGACTCGTCTGACCGAAGATAGAGCATAGAGTCCTTTTTAACCTCCCTACCCTTGATTAAACATCTTGTTGGCAACCCATAAATCCTGGACTACGACGTCTTTGGAAAAGCACACCAGGCCATCAAGACGGCCGAGGCCAGAGGATGCCAGAAAAGGAATTATGGCCACGACAATGCCACCCTCACCAAATATAGACATTGACATTGTTTAGACGGTAGAATGGGAAAGCAGAAAGAACCATGCAGTTATACAGCATTGAACAAATAGACGACGCATTTGCTCGGTTCAATTTCAAAAGAAGAAGAAAAACAAAAGGCCCAACTCCGTGTCCACCCCTCCTTTGTGGAATCATGTGAAACAAGAAGAGAAATATGTTCAACCAGAAGTCATCTCGATGCTGAAAAACGCCCAAACAGAATATCTGGAGGGGGAGTAGCTTGCAGAAGGGAGAGAGAAAGGAGGAGTAAGCCATTTGCCTGCAGTTCTTTCCCCTCCCCTAAATGCGTTTTCCATCCACCGTGGCATAAAGGTACAGATCCAAGGTGGTGCGCGTCCTAAGGTCGCATCACAATAATAGTCTTGACAGAGATTTTTCCGACTGCAAGACGATTATCGTGTACCTATGCGACCTAAAGAGGGACCGCCTTGGTCACGTACATTAGTACCTCGGTAGATGAAAACGTATTTCGTCCACGCCCCTCACTTCATTTCAAACAAGTCTCATTCAGATCGTTCCCCTAAACCCCCTTTTGGTATCTCTCGTTCATCGCTCGGACCATTTCGTTCATGATTGCCGGTTGTAACGTGACCACCAGACGGCCGCAATGGCTGCGACGCCCACGAGGCCGCCAATTATTAGAGCAGTATTGGTTGTTGACGGTTCTTCGCCTATTAAAAAAAGAAAACGCACGAGGCGTGATTAGCCAATGGTCTCGCAATGCAAAGTGACGGAGATGTCGTCACAATGGACGTCGCGCTTCTTTTCGGCGACGTCGGTAACCAGCAACTTACGAGGTGAAGGAATCGAGTTCAGCTCTTTCTTGACATTTTGCCTAAACTCGGTCAAAATGTCGCCCTCCTTCTCCATGCCCGCCGCAACAAGGGCAATGAGCGCAGCGCCAACTCCGCTACCGTCCTTGGCAATGCCAATACGGATCTTCTCCGCCCCCTTGGCTCCGATGCCGTCGATTGCGCGCAGGGCCTCGTAAATCATGTCGCGGAAGAAAGGGTAGTGCTCGACCAGGCTGCCGTCGACACCAACATCAATGACCTCCGCCTCGGGGTCGTCGAGCTTGCCGGACTGCAGGACGATAGCGCCAATGGCAACTGCAGACAAGCGGGCGGCCCGACGGCCGACGGCACCTGCAACGGCCTTGAAAGCCTGTGCGTCCTCGAGCGATGGGGTATAAACTTGGAGGATGGACTCGAGCTCCTGTCTCAATGTCGACAACTCGGGGGTGTTATCAGCGGCGGCAACAGACATGATGGAGCTGTCAAGGCCCCACTGCTTGAATATGCTAGAGCTGGGGCTGATGTCGGTCGTCGACTTCCAGTCGTTGAAGCTCGAGTTTTGGTCTTTGAACAGGGACAGCTTCTCATCCTTGAGCATGTCGAGGATTGTCAGGCGGACAATCTCGCCAAGGAACATGCCGGAGACGCGCTTCTCAAACATTTGGATACCAGGGTTGACACTGGCCCGGTCGAGGGCGATGTCCCACGGGGTGTTGGGCAGCACGTTGAGCTGGTTGTCGAAGGAGCCCCACTCGGTGTTGACGACCATCTCGCCGGTGGTCGTCTCGTAGTCGCCGGCAATGGGCTTCTTGATGTTGGACAGCTTCTCGAGGTAAGCACCGTTGGTACCGGTGCCAAAGATTGCGCCGAGAATTGAGCCCGACTTGCCTGTGGAGGTGTAGGATCTCGCCATGAGAGTTCCGACGGTGTCGTTGACAAGAGCAGCGACTCGTACGGGGAGGTGCAACTTGTCGATCTCGACCTGCAGAAGAGCGCAGACATCCTTGCCGACGGCGTCAGGAATATCGAAACCCTTGGTCCACCGGATCAGGTTGCCCTTGTTGATACCGAGCTGCTGAACGGGGAAGCTGAAGGTGAAACCAAGGCGAAAAACATGCTCGTCACGGTAGCCTTCGGGGGCGCTGTAGGTCTGGCGGCGGCGCACGTGCTGCTCGAAGTGTTCGGCGTGGTGCTCGCGCAGGAAGAGCTCAATCTGCTTGGCAAGGAAGGAAAAGAGCTCCTCAGCGGTCTTGGCGACCATGAGCTCCTTGGGGATTGCGACCTTGCTGTAGGTGAGGTTGAAAGTGGTGTCGCCGTTAAGCTGGACGGAGCAGACGCGGAAGTTGGTTCCGCCGAGGTCAACTGCGAGGTACAATCCCTACGAGGAATGTCAGTACGAGGAGCGCCACCGCGTAATTGTTTTGGGGGGGGGGAAGAAATGCGATGCTGCGTTGCTGAGCCGAAATTACCTTTTCAGTGCCATTAGGCACGCCAGTGACGTATGTCGGGATCTGGCTCATGCTGGTTCCATCCTTCTCGAGTCCATCCTCTGCAGCCAAGCACCAAGGTCAGTTTCATTCAAGGAGGAAGAGAAGCAAACAGCATACGCATCTGGTGGAGAAACTCTTTGACTGCGCCGTTGATGTAGGCATCAGAGAGCTCGAACTGTTCGACTACGCGTACTGTCTCTGATTCGAGCGCCATTGTGAGAGGTTTCGAACTGGGCGGCGTGGTGGGAAAGGGCGCTGGGTTTTGGCAGACAGGCTCCTGGTGAATTTGAGCGGATGGAGAGAATAGTGGAGGAGATGGATGGAAGAAATGATGGGAGGGGAAGAACGAAGAACGAAGCTGCAGCTGGAGGTGCGGCGGTAGGAGCTTGGCGTCGCGTAGAAGAAACTGTGTGAGCTGTTCGACCGAGGAAGCAGACGAATTAGCACAAGGTCTGCAGGATTATCTCCGTTACGAGATATGGAGGGTGTGGAGAGAGAGAGGGCGGGGAGAGAGGATTGGCTGGAAGAGTAGGTTGGACGTTTTGAGTTGGAGGAAGCCAGGTATGAGAGAGGAAAGAAATGGTGGTGTCCAACAAGGTAAATAGAAAACAAAAAGCCAAGCAAGGTAGTCTGGGTAGGACGAGGCAACGGGGCAAAAGAAAGGTCTCAGGTCCAGGCTGAGCAGACTCGAGGATGTTCTGGGGGAGCTTTGTGGATGATGTACCTAGGTGACGAAATCGTACTGAAATGGGCCGGGGGGAGGATGGGGTCAATTGGCATGGAGCGAGAACGTGGAGCATGGAGCATGCGTGGAGCTAGCCATGGAGCTGGCCATGGAGCAGGGAGAGCATGGAGCAGGGGCGGGCGGCCAGGCATGGGTCTGGCGTCAGTCAGAGTACACTACCTCTCGAATCCGAACCCAAACCCAGAGGCAATGAGGTAATGTTGGTGGGTGTGGGGTGACAGGCCTCATGATGCTTGCTTGCTTACTTGCTTGCTTCGCTTGATACACAAGATTGTTCCCAGCGGGGCCGGCCATTGAACATCGGGAACAGGACATGACATTTGACCATTTGGCCATCATGACAGGCGTCGCCGAGAAAGTTCCAACCGGCGCCGCGGATAAGATGCAGGGACTTGAACTGTGGTCGGGACCGGCGGTCATGAGTATGAGTGAGACCATCCGGATGGGACTGGAGAAGAGGGGCCCATCTGCTGGAGCAGGTGATTGAGAGATTGGCAGACTTTCACCGAGAACGATGTTGATTCCATACGTCTGGCGAGAGCTGTTGCTGATGCTGGTGCTGATGTCGATGCAGTCCAATGGGCCAGGAAAACCATCAAACCACTTGGTCCGTGGTTTCATGGACCACGCCAGGCCTTCTCGTGGAGTTCGGGCCGGACGGAGCTACAAGCTGCGTGACGAGAAGCGGGTTTTCTGCAGCAAGCACGACGCCAGTTTGGTAAAATAAAATGCCGGGGATGAATGGATGCAGCCATCGAGCAGCACCACGCCACTGGGACGCGCGATGTGAGGCGAACTGCTGATGCTGCGTGACCTTGGGAACCTTGAACCTAGGTAGGAAGGGCTCACACCTGTCTGCGGGGGATGTCCGTCCAATGCCCAGTCAGGCCGCCAATACAGCGAACGCAGTGCGATGGCGGCTGACTGACACCACATCTACACCAAGGCCCGCCTCAGGCGGCAGCGGCGCCCGGTCAAGCGTCCCGAACATGGCCTTGGACGAACTGACTGCGCAGAAGGCAATACCCCTAGGGAATTGGGCCGAAGGAAAAAGCTCGGCGGGCCGGATACAGCTTTTCGTCATCCATCATTGGTCCAAGCGTGGGGCCTCGGCGCCCCCGTTGTCTCCAATTGGTCCCGGTAGATCCCGGCAAGATCCCGATCATCAAAGTGTCTCGCCTCAACTCGCCTGCTTTTCTGTCGTGGTCTGGTGTCTGTCTCTCTGTCCGGCTACTAGTGTAGGTAATCTGCCGCAGTATGTCGCCCGCCGCCTTCAAGTATCGCAGGTCGAACGCTTGTCTGCTGCTTACAAGACGGAAGAAAAAAGAAAGAAGAAAAAAAGAAGGACCTGGGGCCCCGTGAAAATCTACAGGCTGCCCCAGGGGTATCCCTCCTCAAAATGGCTCAGCTTGGCTCAATAGAGGAGAGAAATCTACAGGCGACAACCACGCGCCACTCGACGCTCATCATTCATGGCGAGCTGACAGGAGACACTATCCCCGTCCCACGGCGACCCCACTTCTACGCCGAAGAAGCTCCCGTCTGCATCCACTATCGCCCACCCGGGCGGGGGCCACCGAACATGCCGGAATTTGGAAAATGGAGAGACTTCGACCAAAGAAGAGGGAAACCCTGGGCGGAAAGTGCGCGCGTGCAACATTGCTCGTGGGAAGAAACAAGGGGCAATGGTTTGCTGGGGTTACAGAGTGGGGATTGGGGTGACGGACGGGGACCGACGGGGGGACAACTCAACAATTGCAGTGTGTGTCTGGTGAAGTGGGAAGAGGAAGAAAAATCCGCACTGCTGCAGAGGTACTTACTAGGACGAGCACTAGGAACACGACCGAGCAAAGGCCGTACCAAAAGGAGGAGACCCCATGGGAGACCAGGAAGCTGCTCCTCCTTCTCCGGTGTCTCGGGTCGCCGACTTTGCTTTTGGCTTTGGACTGTCGATTACCGCCTTTGCGGTTGCCGCTGGTGGTCTTTTTCTTGGTCATGATCATGGTCATGGTTTTGTTGGATTGGGGCATGTCACTGCCGTCGACCGCCAACACCGCCATCTCGTTGTCGCATGCGCCACCGTCCGCGCCCTTTTCATCACGCTGCGGCTGATGAAGCTGCTTCTGGCCGTCGACATGCCGCCTTATTTCGTGTCGTCGGCCCTGCCGCCGTCCATCAAGGTCTTGACAGCCAGTATCAAGACCGCTCGCGCGCCAATCGGCGCCCCGCCCCCGGATGTAGGCCGACAATGTACCGGTGTTTGCTATGTTCCAGATGCAGGAGTTCTCGCTGCGGGCGCGTCGCTGCACCTCACTGCGAAATCTCTCGCTAAAGGGTTTTTTACGTGTTCCTGATTGAAACGACGGCTAGATGAGTCTTTTCTTTCTCTCTCTCTCCCTCTCTCTCCCTCTCTCTCCCACAGTCTTCTTGCTAGGAGAAGTCAAAAGGTCCAGAACCAGGACGGGCTCTGCTTCCGCCAAGACCGGTGAAGGTCGCTTCGTGTGCAGGCTACGAGCTGCAGCGCAGCGCAACGTAGTAGCGTGCGCCTTTGCAGCGATTGTGCTGGGTGCGGGATAACGGCGGCGTGACGCTGGTTCTTCCGCTGAATTTCTCCCTCTCGGCCCTTTGGAGGAGACAGCACGCGCTCAAACGGCCCGTCTGTAATTAGTTTCCCGGGTGTGACGCTGCGAAAAGACGAAGAGGACCCAGGCCTGTCCCACTCCCAATGAGGTCATGAAATTGGGTTCCAGGCGCCAGGTGGGGAAGACGACCCTGCAAGGGTAGTGCGCCAAAACTCTGGTGTCCTCGTGGGCGGTCTGTCGTGGAGTTATTTTCGTGGATTCGTGGGTTGAGTGACCGGCGGTAGGGTCTAGCGAGAAACAAGACCGGGCAGACGATTCTGGGTGTGCGGGATGGGGAAGTGTACGGAGAAAGTCGATGGAGGGGATCGCTGCCGTCTGCCGAGTCGCTGAACTGCTCGTGATGCTCGTGGGCCGATCACCTCAAACTCAGGGTCTTTCACGTCTGACGCCGGGTCTTGGGGGCTTTAGGTCTTGGACCTAGGCAGGCCGGTCGGAGGGTTTCCAGAGTCCGAGTGGTTGTCTTTGGGACGACGGTTGGTGGCTTGTCTTGGTATTAATAAATCGGGCGCTCCCCGGGCTTTTGCCTGCGCTTTCTCTCGATTCCAGGTTTCAATGTCGCTCGATCGCAGTCCTCTTTGTTGCAGTTGCTCCCCAGTTATCGGCTGCAGTTTTCTGTCATACGACCGCCCAGAAAGGGGTTTTTTAGGCCTGCCAGTTCTTGTTTGAAGAAGTCGGCAGGTGCTGAGGTGAAGTGACGACGGTTTGCTTTGCCTGGCAAGTGTGCCGCGACGGCCTAGTGTAGTCCACCTTGCCCTCGGAGCCGGAGACGTCAAGGTGCAGAATGAATCTTGGATGATACGCAATCGCGTTTCCCTGTATCAATGACCGATTTCCCGGTTTGGGCTTTGGTCGTTTGTGCCTCAGCGAAGGTGGTGGTGGTGGTGGTGGTAATGGTGAGATCTGATCGATGAGTCGCTTTCTCTGATTTGCCGGAAATGTTGTTCAATGGGTTTCCAGCATATTGGACGCAGATCTCAACCCTTGGGAGATGAGACAGACAACTCGTCGAAGGGCGAGAACTGATGTTGTCCTACCGAGAAGGACAAAGAGGTGAAGAGGAACAACAGGGCGACGATATCATTCGTAAGATAACAAAGAGGAGGCTGGCTGGTGGTTCCTACGGTCTACTGACGCCGTCTCCCCATCAGCTCAAAGGGGGAAGGAGGGGTTCTCTCGGGTGCATCTTTCGGTTGAGAAAAGGCTCCTGGGGAGTGGAGGATGTGCCAGACTTGAGAGTCAATTGACCACTCAAGATTGCCGTCGAATCGTGGCAGGGTCCCGCACAACTGTACGGTATGTGTGTGTGTGCGTGCGTGCGTGCGTGTGTGTGCGCGCGCCAACTGCAGGCCGGGGTCTGATAATCTGGGTCGTTGAAGGACCTCCCAATCGCTGCCAGAGAAAAAGAGTGCCGTCCCGGGCAGGGTGTTGGGATCTTGTGTTCCTCTTCGCTATCTGACGGCAAGGAGAAAAACAACACATATACACAATATGGAAGACTCCGGAAACTAATTTTCAGCACTCCAGGATGGAGGCACGCAATGTTGAACGCACTGAAGTAGTACTCTCGCAGCGTTCCCCCTAAGGGAAGGAAGGGTCGATCAAACATACACGGGTGTCCCTGCTCCCGTCCCCGAGTCTACTCTAGTACTATCCCTCCCCGACTTGTGGTTGGCGACATTCACAAATCAGTTCCTTGGTCATCAATGTACACGAGCCAAATGGGACACATTGCTTCTTCATAACAAATTCCAGAATTTCCTAGACTAGCTGGCCCATGATGCCTGGCCGTGATTCCAGGTATGCACGCCCGATGCTCCGTTCCCTATGCCATGCCATGCCATGCTATACGGACACATTGCCAAATACTCCGGAGCATACATTTCCTCCCCTTTCTATGGTTTGTCTTTACGTCGGCGTGGGCTTTGGGCCAAAATGAAGCAGAGTTGGAACCCTGATGCCGTCCGATCTCGGTCCAATATCACGCCGTTGGTTCAAAGCTCCTCTTGACAATGAAAAAGGACACCATAAGCAACGTAGCACAAGTGAGGAAGACACTGTTTCGGTGTCCGTCGCCTGTTCTCTTGTTAATTCGTCGCCGGAACCAGCCTTGCGCAAGAGAACTTACCCTCTTCATCCAGGCTGTGCGCCACGACAACGAAGACGTTGAGTGGAAGCCTCAGCAGGCTGTATACACGTCCTCGTACGCCGTCCTCGACAACCTGGCTCTTCAGGAATGACATGCTCGGGAAGTATGCGCCGATGCTAGCCTCGACCATACACAGCGCCCAGAACAGGAACATCTCGCTCTCGAGTAGGACAGCCGCCGAGAGACAGCAGCTCACCATGAGCACCACAAGCATTAAGATCACCGAAGTTGTCTCCTTGGAGTGAGACTTGGCGTAGAGCGAGAAGAACGCCGAGCCTGCCATCATAGCACACATGAAGCTGGAGAAAATGAGTCCAAAGGGCAACTCCTCGTTTGAGCCGGCCTTCATTCTCGCGCTCTTGAGCGCTGCGGACCAGAAAAACACAAAGAGGTACATAGTGCCCTCGAAGAAGGTCGACGTCAGACCCAGCGATAGAATGCGTTTGTCGCGTATGATCATCTGGATCCCGCTCTTGACATCTCCAAGAGAGGATGTTGCCGGGCCGGCTTGCTTGGCCCCATAATTCTCCTTCCATCTTCCTAGAATCAACCAAATGGCCATCGCGGAGCATGCCACGCTTGCCATGAACGGCCAGACACGGCCGCCCAAGGCGTTGACCATGACGTCACCGAAGATGCCAGAGGCAATCGCCACGATAGAGCTGATGGTGGTCATGTGACCGAAGATGGTGCCCAGCTTGAGCTTCGTCCGTGACAGGCCACGCTGGTTGTATTCTGTGATCAACCATGCCTCAAACACGCTGTAGAGAAGGGTGGTTGAGATGCCGCCGCAGAAGCGGCCGAGGAACAAGATGAAGAGGTTGTCGGTGAGCATCGTCAGGCAGGTAAAGATGTACGCGATGCAGTACGTGATACAGGCGAGACGACGGCCATATCGATCGGCGAGTTCGCCGGCAAAGGAGGCCGAAATGGCACCGGAGACGAAACCAGCAGCGTACAGCGCAGCGACAACCTTTTCGGCTATATTCTTATCGTACTTGTAGATGGCATAGATATGCGGGCCCTATGTCGTTGTCAGCTTGGAACCACTAAGCCCGCGATGCTTTCTGTTACCTGCAACCAGTCAGCCGCCATTGCCAGAGCGTAGACGGGAAAGAAATCAAGCTGGAACTGCCGGACCGCGGCCTGCGACTCAGCGGGCTCCGCGAGCAGTTGAGATAGCTCGATGTCGTGACCTTCAGCACCATCGTCAACAGCGGCCGCCTCCTGTTTCAGCTCTTCGATTGCCTCTTGCTCTTGTCGCTTGTACTGTTGATACAGAAGATACCCATTGCTCGCCACGAAAGCGGCCAGATTCAGCTGGTAGAAAGACATGTCGGAAAAGTGCCTTTCTGTGAGTGCAGAGATGTGAAGGACAAACTGTTGCGGTTTGGGACGTCTGTGTAATATGATATGTCTGTCAACGCGGCGAGATCAGCATTCGCGATCCAAGCATAGCATGTGTTGCGTGTCTTGGGATATCCCGACATTCCACAGGTCTCAGCTGCCCTTTGGTTGACGGCGTCTTGGAATCAATAAAGGGTTCTCGAGGATGCTGTGGCGGTAGAGGGAGAGAAAAAAATAGAGGAGCATTCAGAGTAAGGGAACAGCGCTCTGAGAAAGAGGAAGGAGCTGGAATGTGACCCCCATCGTTCTTTCCAGCTTTGGTTGAGCAGCCGTGATGGGCAATGAGTGGCATCGACAGGCATTCACGATGGCTGGAAACGGACTATGACAGGAGACAAGCTCCCCAAACCCGGGACGCCATGCTCGCTCAGTCGGTTGGAGTGCTATTGAATCTGGAACACGGTCCCTGAGCTTTGTTCCTGTCGAGCCCTTGGCAGAGAGGTAGAGCTGGGCTGGTCCTGATATCCCGAGTTTAACCCAAAACACCAGGCTTGATGTTCCAAACTGACCGGCCTGAGATGGAGGGGCGGCGACCATCCAATAGGAGCCACCCATAGATTCCGACTTGGATTTCGTCCTAAATAATAGTCCACTACCCAGGTAAGCTACAGTAGTCGTAATATTCAGGAGGTGACGCGGGGGCTAGCAACTTCAACCAGGCCCGCGTCGTGATGGTTGCGGCCGGATCCATTCCACATGGACTAGAGGGAGTTACCGTGAGAGATGATAGGCCGGTGCTAGGTGCTCCCTCGTAGTGCTGTATTACTCCAAACCCTCCCTCAAATGCCTTGACGCATTTGCATGCAGCTGTGCTGTTTGCATGCCGCGTGGTTCCCTTGCACTGTGAATCTGCAAGTCAAGCGTTTACAAGTATGTCCCGGGGGTTCACAGTCGAGGAAAGGGGAGAGAAAAAGCAAGGGCTTGTCTGTGATTCTTGTCAAGCCAACCTTGATAGGTCTACTTTGTACTATCTATGAGTCCCTTGCGCGTCTCTTATTTATGTGTCCCTGACTTTACCACGGCGACCTATGTCTTGATGAACCAAGTGTTCAACCCCGGACTCGTACTTGCGGAAGGATAGGTAGTCGGCCATGCCGGATATCTGGCAACCGACAACAACGACTGGGGCTCCGGAGAGCTCTCACCGGGCACATGCCGA